AACCGCATCGAAAGACTACGCTCTCAGCACGAAGATCACTCACGGAAGACACCCGCTCAGCTTGCGCGAGAATTGATTGCGGCTAAGCGCGCAAAGAAAGAGAGGTACGATAAGGAGATGCAGCGCATGGGTGGAGCAATGAACGACTTCATCAACGATTACCTCTCTAGCATGCTTGCAGCAGAAGAGCTGGGCGGACCTGTAGTAGGTGATATGCTTGAGGTGGAAGACGATACACTTGCCGCCGGGTTCACGAAGAAAGGACGCCCAAAGTCGTCCAAAAAGCCAGCATCAGATAAAACACGACAACGCAGGATTGACCAAATTTGGGGCAAGAAGACTGCTGTTGATGACCAAGAGGAGGAAGAAGAGCCACCTACTGAGGCCGAAGCTGCAGACGCGGAAATGCGACAGCTGATTGAGAATCTGTTTGCTACGTTGATGGGACCAGGAGGTGGAAAGGCGTATTTCCAACTACAAAGAGATTCTGCAGCCTCGAGGTTCTTGGTCAGGGCAAAGATTGCGCAGTTCCATCCGAAAGATGCGAGGAAGCTTAGACTGATTGACTTTGGAAGAGAGTTGGAAGACTGAAACTGCTGGTGTAGAGTTACCTGACCCTCTGTTGCGAGGTTGCTGCAGTTGCTGCATGCACTACGAGAGCCAATCGACCGCCACAAACTCGTTAGACAGATCTGACCTCGTTACGAGGGGAATGGCATCCACAAGTATACATCATCCAGAGCCTTGCCGAAGTTCCTATCGTGTACTCATCCCTTTTCCCCCATGTCTACAAAGAATATCGACATGTGGCGGTGCATTCGTGTTTAGTATCTAAACCGACATCGTACGTTTCCTTTTCGGAACTATCAATACCTTGGTTCCGCGCTCCACACATGCACGCACGCCTCCGGCCCACACTGCATCCCGCGCAACACATCATCCACAATCCAGGTTTTGGGTCAGGATAACCCGGCTTTTCCCCAGCGCCTCCGATCCTCTTTCGTCAGTACAGTATCCCAAATGAACTAATGACCCGAGTATCGGAGCCACTGCTCCGAAGAGAGACATGGGGGATTTTGGGACATCGGAAAAGAAGTACAAAAAGAGGTCTTATCGCAGAGGCGATATTGGGAGTGCACGTGCGCGGGGGTGAAGGATTCCAATAGCAACGTTACCATGTACAATAACATGACCTGATATGAGGATGGGGATCTTCCCGTCCTGGCGCTTCCGCCGACAGAATCTGACAGCGAAGCGATCAAAGCATTCATACAAGCACATGGGTAGCAGGCAACTTCCGGCCGAAGCTCACCATGTCCCAGAGCTGAAGAAAAAGCAGAAGAATACGAGGCTCAACAACCAGCCCCCCATGTTCGTCGTCGGAGATCCAAGAAAGAACCTTGGAAAAAGTAATCCGATGCATGAGAATAGTACCGTATGTGTCCCAAGGATCCGAAATGGACTGCCGGATGGGGACACACCCTGAGGCGCCGTCAAAACAAGTACCGTGCAGGTGACTACCTTGAGCATACCCTTGCAAGACGCACCGTAAGATCGTAAGATGCACGTCGTACTAATGCAGACGCATCAACGTGGCTCCTGTAGGTACACTCAGACTTCACAGAATCGCTCTTTCAATCCGCCCAACCGGCAGTATTCCAGGTGCGTCAGCGGCTGATGGCGCATGACAGCTCTCTCCAGCCCACTGATTCGTTGTCAGTCCTAAACGAGATGACCCACGATCCCAATCGCAACCTCTTCATTCGAGGGATATTAGGTGCGGCCATTTCTGCCGGAGGATGCGATCGCGATTGCGCGCGTAGCCTTGCCAGTGCAGCGCGACGGGTGGGAGATCTGAAGCTGCTCAAGTGCTGACTGCCTGGGCTGCTGACAGGTACCGGGCTGCGGGAAGCGAGCTGTGGGGACACCGCTGAATTGTGCTGGATCTTCAGCAAGTGCACGCTTGGTCTGTCAAACTTGAAACACATGCCGGATGATCAGGGAGAGCGGTTTCTGACCGCATGTATGAAGTCATCATGGAGCAACAGTTCATACATGCGTTCTGACAGTAAAAACCGAGGCCTTTCTCGGTCTTTGATTTCCGCGGTAATTTGCGTTGACAGTGGATGTCACAAAAATGCCCGGTATACACGTGCACACTTCATGAACGAGTAGCGAACAGGGGTGCTGAAATTGCTGATTCCACTTTTCTTTTCCCGCTCAGGATCCGATCCCAATCTGGTGACTTCATCATGCATAAGAGAATCACATATCATGTCGCAATACACGGGGCTTTTCTTTCAGATTTGCATCGTTTGCGGTCCGATAATACGGCCGGTTTTTGTGAAAGATATGGTACGGTGGGGGATGTTGGGGTGATGCGGGATTTGAATCTGGGACCGGTAGTCCTCCCGACGCTTTAGTTTGTTGATGCGTACCAAACGAACCTACACCATCATCTTTTAGCCGTCTACGAGAATCAAATGATACCTTCCAAAAATGCTCAAGTGTATCCGTCTTACGAAGCTAGACTACTTCTCAAACCTCAGCTCGGAGCACCACAAATCGCAGTACATAAACTCACGTAACAGCAATGACAATCATCCTAGCCTGCTTGATGCCCTGGTGGAATTTACCGTAATGCAGCCAGTGCGAAGACTAGATGCTGGAATAGGCCCATCTGGAGCTCCATTCCATCGCCGTTTCAGCATCGTGGCTGTGCGCAATTTGCTGTTTCTTCTAAGTCGTCGGAGATGTTCCGTCTGGTGTCCGCGCTGCGAAGTCAGATTAAGCAAAGAGACATATGTGTCCATCATGGGCTAGGATCTGCAAACTACGGCTGATATTCTTACCCTACGGCAGAAGCGGGGTACCAACAGTCTAGAATGCCAGAACAATTGATATGTCGCCGAATTTTCTGGAAATGGAATTGTGCTGGTTAGAAGTGAAGCATTCTGACATGTGAAGTGATCAACACCGTTGCGAGGGGTACGTAACACCTATCTGTGGCGGTGCAGACCTCTTCGGGTGACGTCTCGGTACACTTACGTCAAGATGCTCCACGGTGGAGTGACGGACAACTCCCTTGCCATAAGGAGAAGAAATCCTCCGCAAGCCGTGAGTCACAGTTCGTCAATGTCCGCATGACACCTGCGTCAGCTGCCAGGGCGTTCTACGCCATGTGGCACACGCCAGCGCTCCCGCAGTTCGTGGCGAAGGCCAGGGTCCAGCCACACCACTCGCCACTTGCCGGCTCGCTTGAGTACACAAGATGTCGATCTCTGTGTAGATCCTACATGCTCATTGGTTGTCGTACAACGCTTTTGTGAAATGGCCTTACAAAATCACTATGATTAGAACGCCTCATTCCAGCGTAGTAAGTGGCCGATAGCCCGGATAGTCGTATAGTAGGTTCCCGTTCATGTTGTACGTTTATTCCGTGTTTCCATTGGAAGGAACACTCTTCGGGGTCCGCGAGGCGTTCTGCTTCGACACAAGAGGTGGCGAAAGTATTCCGAGCGAACATACTGGAGCATGTCGGCTAGCTTTCCGTCGCGGCCCTCCTGTTCGAGCACAATATGAGCGACGGCATTACCGGAAGCCTCTCCTTATGCATAGTCTCGGTTTGAGAGTCCATTCGCCTCCGAAGATACTCTCGAATGTGCGATTTCCTTGTAATATCACACCACACTTGCATGAGCGCTTGCTTGGTGCTGCACATCCCGTAGACTATTCGTTCAAGCCACAATCCGTAAGATGGATTGGCGTTTCATAATATGCGATTTCGAATAAGGCAGTAGGAGACCAGATCTGATCGGTCCTTTCTCATTCGACGCGTACTTTCTCATTGCCAACGCATCTTCCAGACCCTGCTCCCTCGGTCTGACTTATCGGTTTTCTGTAGGTGTACCATGGTCGTGATTCGTGAGCCTTTTTCTGCAGTATGACATCAAGTCTCGGGCAGACAATCTTTTGAGTCGGATCCAAGTGCTATAGGAATCGGCTACCATACCCACACTTCCCGCCAGCCCCCTCAATTACTCGCGTGTCAGGGGTCCCCGCCCAAACGCTGACAGGTGTACCAAACACGGTGTCAACAATGTTGAGTTTAGTGCTTAGAAAAGCGAGACCGACGATAGTTGTCGCATAACCCATTCGCGAACGTGTGTTTATTGACGCTGGTGCAAGCCGCCCGTTACTGCTGAACCCCTGGTGCGAACGCTTCGCGCGTAATTTCCGGAGACGATAGCGTGTTAAATGCTTGTGCGCGCCAAGACACTGGAATATTATTCGATGGGGCAGGGAAGGAGCAATCTGCCGCGATGGGGTCGGTCGGAAAAAAAGGTTTCTAACTTTGGCGGCGGACGGGGAATGTAATGATCATCGCTATGTCACAACGTCAGTGGGGGTGTCCACGGTCAACGGCGCAGCTTCGGTCGGCCAGGGTAAGAACGTGGAGCGCAAGAAAATTGTACAGGGAAGAGAAGTCGAGAAATCGCAGGTGACGACAGCTTCAGAGCGAAAAGGTTTGATTAGGCTCGCAAAGGACAATGGGCATGTACACCGTAGTGGACAGAGCTGCCATCCTTGTTGTATGTAGAAAGAAATTACAGGTTCAACGCTCCTCCCTCGTAGTTGCGTGTGTGTATCTCGCTATGTGTTCGTAACAGATCGTTGCTTTGCAATCTTAGCCGCTGGAAAGGTGAAAGTGGTAATAGTATAATGGGTATCGTCGTCGCACCGGAAAGAAGAAGAATAGAAAGGTATCAACAAAGGAAATGCAGCAAACGCTCTGGTCGAACGCGTGGTATCTCCAAAGGCGCTAAACGCCAAACAGTAGAACTGAATCAAGTGATGTTAATTCAGAACAGCCCTCAAAGAGCAATACAAGGCTCCAAGGTACGAATAGTATGGGGTCGTGACAATCGGCAAATTACCGAGAAACAGGGTATCAAAGATGAAGGAACGGCGTCTCGCAGGCAAGCGATAGGCATAAAAGCCTAGAAGAGAAGACGGAGTTCGTAACCGGTCGAGTGAACGTTTTCCGTAACGCTGATGTCACCATCAACTTGAATGTCTGTAGGACCCGCATCCCATTCGCGCTTCATAGCATGCACTGGCGGTGTGCCGATCTCATGGAATTCGGCTGTCATGTCCTGTTGCTCGGGGATCCTGTTGACTGCATCGTCGTCCATCAGAATCTGCAATCCTTTTTGGTTGACGCGGATGGTTCGCGTGACCTTGGTTGGCTCGAGCTTGATCTTCATTGCAATGCTAGCAACAAGTTCTTTCACAGTACGCTCCATTAGATACACGGCGCGGAAGTAGTTATCATCGGGTTGCCGACCAGCGAAGCGCGGTTGGACGAAGAAGCAGGCGACAGGCTTCAGCATAGGCTCCGGAGGCGGCTGGTAGGTTTGATCAACCCCAAGGGCTTCGATCCATCCAGAAAGCGCGTGGTCATCAGAATATGGCCGTTGGACCTTTGTTGGGACGTCTGCGCCGCCTTGAATGCTAGTCATGCCCTTCAGATCACCTGTGGCTGTTTGTGGCATGTTGCGCCATTCGTTCGAGGACATGCGGGATGGTGGCTGGAAAGGCGCCGGACGTTGGAAAGACATAGTCCTACGCTTCTCCGAGTGGAGAGATTGAGAGCTGGGGGTTGGAGATACAACAGAGGATGTTCCTGTTTGCGACTCTGGAGCCTCCCACATAGGCGCATCCACGTTTGTGTCAATCTTAGAGAGTTCTTGAGGAGCAGCTCCTAGGATCACTGGGTGAAGATCCGGGTCATCCTGCTCCTCTCCCTTGAGGTAAAGAACACTGACAGGCCTGGTGGAACTGAACATGTCTTGAAGTGATGCCAGTTTGATGTGAAGGTCTTCTTCAGCAGGTGCACGGCCTCCTTGATTGTCGCTCGCAGAAGACATGGACCAGGTCCTCTTGTGCTTAGGTACCTTTCCGGGTCGTTGGTTGACACTTCCCTTGGAGATTGATCCACTGCGTTTCCGCTTGCCGAAATCCTTCATGCCAGACTCGACCTGAGCAATCTGTTGCTTCAGCTTGTCGATAGTCTTCTTGACATGGGCGACGTCGTTGGACAGCTTCCGCTCGGCGCCGTGGTCACGGAAGAGCTTGACTTTGCAGTAGCAAAGCTCAGCATCCGGTCTTTGGGGTGATGATCCGGTAGCTTCGGTGACCATCTCTGTCTTCGCACATAACCGGACGGGAATGCCTTTGACACCCTTGGAGTGACTGAAATCGGTAGAGAGGAAGTTGAAACGCACGGCCAAAGAGCACTCGGGCGAAGAGTTGTGAGTTGGTGTCCATACAACGACAAATCCATCGAAGGAGGAAGATTCGAGTTCAACTCTGGGACGTCCTTGGATCTCACCGCCGCTGACTTGGCTCGGATCCACGAATTCAACTGCTTGAAGTCTTCCACCACGCTGGTGCGCCTCGTTAGTTCCGCGGCCCTCTTTCCACAGTTGCCAGCAAGACGCGGGTCGCTGACGCTGCTGCTCGTCTTCGAAAGAAATGCGAATGAAGGTTCTGTACTTTGTCGATGGAGATTGCGCTTGCATGGGGGCCGTGTCTACAAGAGAGATGGAATAGGCCTGTCCTTTGTTGAGATAGGTAACAGGAACTTCATCTGACTGCTTGATCATGGCCGTTGGAGCATTCAAAGTAACGTGGTATCGGAAGCTGGAGAAGTTAGTACGTAAAAGAGGCTGGAAAGATAGGACGACGGACTTTTGATTAGGTGGAGGGGGTGCCGGTGCGACGGCAGCTGCCATGCCTTCATATGAATGGGGTGCATAACCAATCAGAGGAGACTGCTCTTGCATCTCGACCTCTGGGACCATATTGTCCATTGGCGAGTCCTCGTGGTTTTGCGCCATGTTGCCTTGGTCGAATGCAGCAGGCTGATGGGTGAACTGGTGCGGGGCAAAGGATTGAGAATGCTGGGGCTGCATGCCAAAAGGATTGACATTCTGGAAGTGATGCGACCCCAAAGCATGGGGATTGAAACCATGGAGATGGTTGGCAGGCGCGACCTGGCCGGCATGAAGGGCACCTTCGGAGGTAGGAAGCGATAGTGGTGTTCCTAGGCCAAAGCTGAAGCCGGGCGTGTGGAGATCTCCGGCCTGGCTGTGGTAGAGCGTGTTGGTGCCGCCAGGAGTTGGCGTGTAATAGCCAGGAGGTTGGTTTGCGAAAGAGGTGAAAGCAAAGCTGTTGGGGTCCAACAGCGAGGGAGTGAACCTCCACGGCTCGGTATTTCCACGCGGGGTCGGGTCCTGATCTTTGATGTCCTCATGGTCGAGTTGTCTGAAAAACATGTGGGTTAGTATAATAATTCTGTGCGTTGTGTGTGCATGTTCGGCTTCGGCGGTGTTGTTGTTGATGTTCGTGCCGAGTGACATGGGATGGGGGGATCTCGGAAGAACGTACCGGGAGGGGTGCGCGACATCAAGCGCATCTGCGAGCGTGTGGCCCGGAGGACCTGCAATAGAATGCGAACGCTGCTGGAGATGAGGGAAAGTTGCCTTGAACTCCTCTAGGAGCTTTCCATCGGGTTTTTGGGAGTTGAGTCTGCGCATGTCAGTCGTGGGTCGGCCAAGGTACATGATGTCTTCACGCGACGCGCGCAAATCACATGCGAGCTTGGGCGCGGGCGGGACGTACCTATTTCGAAACATGGCATCGGGCACTCTCGCGGTATTAGGTCTTGTTTAATTCGGGTTGCATCTGGGAAGTCGATGGGGAAGAAAAGGTGTTTGGGTTGGGGAGCCTTGGAGGAGCAGACTATGGGTTGATGAAACGGAGAGCAGCTGCCACGAGAAAGTCGAGCCTGGGAGAGTCAAGCCACAGGTGTCCAGGGCCGGTGGTCAGACGTCTTTTAGCTAGCGACCTGAGCATCCACAGGGCCTGACGGAATTGCAAGAGGGCCGCGCGTGGGCATGGGTGGAGCGTCGGGTCTAGGCACACGGTCCCTGCTCCTCTAACGCTACAGTTTTGCGTGGCCCTAGGCGGCTTTGGTCCTCCGCCCTACTCTGTGCGCGACATGCTGCCAGAACTGATCACCCACCGTCCGTCTTGCACAGCCACAACCTTACGGCAGACGCGAGCCGGCCAGAAGCTCTTTGCGTCCGCATGAGGAGCTGATAGTCGCTGCATCTGTCGCCATCCCGCACTCCAAGCGCACATCCGCCCATGGATGCTGGATCGCGCGGACCCAGCTCGATGTTTCTCGAATCCACTCCAACTGCTACACCAGTGCGAGGAGCTCGTGCGCGGCTCCAGTGGCTTGATGAGTATTCCGTGCCCTTGGGCGTAATTTACTCGTCAAGACAGCTTCTGCTCGCACACTATACCCCCTTTGTCAAGCAAGACTGTTGCGGCGCCTACGGTGTGCGTTGGCGCCTCAATGCGAAATGACATATGCCGGGCAGCTCCCGTTTCCACTTGTGTCCCGAGACCGCTTCCTGCCCTTGTCTCTTGCAGCTTTCCACGCGGCAGACGTCTCTACCGCTGCTCGCCCTACCTATTCAGCCCACTGCCGGCCGCCTTCCCCTGCGTATGAGCTACGGATCAGAGACGAGGATGCCACCCCGCCAATTCGTCAAAGTCTATCTAGCAGGCCAATCCCACTGTCGCCCGTTGGCGCCGTATCGCTTGCGCTTACTCGGAAGACTTAATTCTTAACGTTATTTTACCACCTGTCAAGCCGAGATTAAGGAGTGGTTAGCGGGCGTTATCCCGAAAGCGAGTCTATCCACCAAACTGAACCATCCCATCAACGGCTTTCGTCATCGTAAGGCGCTTGGACGGTGCATCTGGAAGCCATGCTGTAAGAGTGAACGTCACTGCCTTTTGCAGTTACACCGAACATGGTGCTGGCAGTTGCATGGAATGAAATACCTGTGGCTGCATGGCCAATCGCAAGGCTGTGGAATCGTCGTCCGGTAGGTGCAACGGAGGAATCCACAGAGGCAGCGATCGTTGTGTAAAAATAAGTGTGGCAACAGTTGCAGACCGCGATCGACAACGCGAACTCTCGACGAATCGAATGCCTCGAGTATCATCATGTGGAAGAAACCTTTTCTGTAAACTCGGAAATGATCGGCCAACTGTGGCACAGCTTCTACACTCGCCACACCGAACGCCACAGTTTGCAGATCAGACCTACTAACAGAGCAGATAGCGACAAGACGCGTAGACATGCAGAATAGAAGGAGCTGGAAACGGCTCGTTTATGACTAGATGTTGCGATTAGATTCGTAGAATGTCAGAGTCCAGCCCAGAAGCGCAGTACTCTGGCGTAGTGTCAGTATCCGTGTCTCCTGCGCAATGCATTAGCCGTAGTAAGATGGAGTGAGGTCACCTCCGTACAACCGCGACCGGATAGGTTCGACCTTGAGCGCCGCCTGGTCATTATGGCAGCGTGGTACGGGAAGGGAAGGGGAGCAATCGCGATATCTGATGTGAGCTGTCAGTTTAGCCACAGCTCTTCATCTCGCTAATTGGCACAACTAATCTTGGTTGTTGCGCGAAGGGGACTGCAATCTTAGGTTGATACACTTGGTATCCTACAAACTCCTAGTCCATGTGACTTTTGCCCACGCACGCTACGATGACCGCAGATAATTGCTCTCTGATCCACAGGTGCTCGGTCAAGCCCGAAACCTGGTGTGATAACAAAAGAAATGTAGAAAACATTTGCAGCCTGGTCTTCCAATGGTGACACAAGTATCACTTCTGACTTTGGCGAGTAGAGAGGAATGATCGCACGTTGTCTCACGGTCGAATCAACCTCAAACTGATGTGCTGAATAACCGGAATGAAACACCAATCGCAGCCCTGTCCGTCCAATGTGGTTGTAAAGATCTCGATCATACAGGTATAAGAGATGTCCATTTATCAACTTGATGACGTTCTCTTATAGTCATCATGCACCGGCTTGACTGGACCTCCTGCGTTGTTTGTTCGCGATAGGGAGGGTCTTGGGCTGCTTCTCTCTGACAATGAGGTTTGACTTGCATCACTTGCAGCCCTCGCTGCTGCGACAGCCATGTTACTGTTACGCAGTCTTGTTGCACCGATCTGCTCTCTTGATGCCGTCGAGGAGTCTGACGCACGTAAGTCGTTGATCGAACTGTGTCTGCTCTGGAGTTCGGGTCGAACATTTCCACTTGGATGTTCGCGAAAAGCCGTGATAACACTAGAACGAGACTCTCGACGACTATCTTGAGGTCTAGCATAGACCGACTGGAGGCTTGAAGCAGAATCTTCTCGGCGACTGCGACCCGTCGTTTGGACAGGGCTAGGAATCTTTGATGGCTTGGCCAAATCTGCACCCAGATTTTGAGACGATGAAGTAGACCTAATTGATTGGGTATCGAGTGCAGGGCGCTCAGCACGCATGAGGAGCGGAGTGTCCGAATCGTCAGAACCGCTCTCATTGGTTTTCCCGTCAAGTGCTCCAAACTCCTCCGCGAGCGCTTCGAGTTGATCCGCCCCAGGCTCAAAAGAAAACTGTCGACGATGCTTCTGTGGAGTGCTGAGATGTGGCTGCGACTGAAACTTCCGCAAATTATGTGGGGGTGCAAGAGGTGTATCAGGGTATTGTGGTTTTCCAGAATTCGGGCCCATCCCTTGATGTGACGGCCGTGCGTCTCGTTCTTCGATACCTTCTACTATTCTCTCTGCTGGTCTAGTCTGCGAGAAGAGCATCATGAGGCTGTGGTTGAAGCTGCTGATCTCTAGCCCTCGACGTCTTGCAACGAGTGTGCCAAGCTCACGAAGAGCAACGAGAGCTTCGCATTCGGTCGCCGGCTCCATTCCAGTGTGCTCAAGAACCGCCATCTCGTCAGGCAAAGGATCACCAGACCCCCCTGAGAAACCAGAAGTTATAGAGCTAGTAAAGGAGCGGGAGGGTTTTGTCTTACGAATGGCGGTAAGGTTGAGCTCGCTTTGGACTTTGCGCGACAGTGTCAAATTATGGTTGACCTCAGGAGGAGTTCCTACTATCAGCTTCGTCCCATCGTTGGTAAACTGTGTTGAGAGGACGATCATCTTTCCAGAGGGAGATAACGGTCGACTTAGGAGCGCTGAATTAGATTAGTAACGACATGCATAACACTATATTACCAAGCACTAACCTCTCTGACTCCTAACTTTGATCTCTCGGTCGAGTTGGGCATGCGAAAGGGAGTCATAAGCTGGAGGGAGACTGTCGTACGAGATGGTCTTCCTATGACGTCGCACTACGCTGTCTTGACGAGCTTGCATAAGTCTCCTCTGTGTTAGCAAAGAGAGGGCATGGAGTTGGAGGCTACTGACCCTGTCATACCGCTCGTTCCGCGAGCTATGAGCAGCTCGAGTCGCCGTATCTCCGCGCCATAGCAATCTTTGGAGCGATTCCAATGTTCTTCGGCCTTTTTCCAGTCACTGAGTGTCTCCTCCATCATTACACTGAGACTCTCTTTCTGCTCTCGGACCTTGCGGTAGTCCTCAAACACCCGGAACAGGCCACTATTGTGCTCCATTGGTATTGGCCGGTGTGTAGTTGCCATGTGCGATCGGACAGACTGAACCACATCAAGCGGATCTATGTAAGGCTGTAGGGACTGTGGTGCGTCTTCACCCCAAGGTATAGAGAAGGCAAACTCAAGTTCCTTGGTTGTATCTTTGAAGTTGGCGAAAAGCGAAGTGTATCGTGCGAGTTTTGGCTTGGAGTCTCGACGTGGCGCTGGGGTGTCTGAACGATCACTTCGGGTATCATATGTATCGTCGGTGACAGGCGTGGCTGATACAGCGCCCACAGGTGTCTGCGGTCTGCTGCCTTGACGTTGTTGTCGCCAGCTGAGCGGAAGGTGGTGATCGTTCAAATCTTCGAAAGATTTCGAGTATTCGGTATCGATCTTCAGAGGAGTGAGCGCTCTTGGTGGCTTCTTCGGCTGCTTGCTGTGGCCTAATCGCCAACTCTTGTTGTCAGGCATGTCCTCGTCGGCTTTCGCACGCTCCCTCGCCAGATGAGTAGCTACAGAGAGCCCTGGAAGCTGAGCCACGTATAGATCCATGATTTTCGTGGGCCGCAATTGCCGACTTCGTGAGGTTGTGGGGAGCAGCTGTCGAACACGAAGGTGGAAGTGGAAAGTCGGGAAGGCGCTATCCTCAAGACCAGCTCTCACCTTCACTTCCGTTTTCGGTATTCAGCAACGCGCCGTCACCTCTAATCACGACTACACGTGGTTCATATCCGAACGTCATCTCGTGGACTGGCCGGCGTGTCTGCTTTCTGTTTTGGTATATGTAAACCCTCGCTCTTTCCAGTGACACCTCTATCTTGTATAGAGATCCTTAGCATCGCCAGAAACCTACATTGACATCGACTGTATCGAATTCAAATTTACCAAAGCTCAGTCAGACCTGTATAAATATCAAGAGTCTAAGAACTCGTGTGGTCTAGAGTTCACAATATATACCGCGCGACGGTGACTGTGTTGCGCTTTCCAAGATTGTTAGGAAGCAGGCAAGACCAACTCATCTCTACCAAGCAAGAAAAACAATCATAAGAGCGAGCTTCAGACACAGTAGAGACGAGATAAGTGAAAGGACTAAAGATAATGGAACAACTGGCGACACTGTTTACCAAGCGCTGAACGACTGCACAAGCATATCAGCGACTGAAATTTAGTCAATAAGTTACACGGAAAGTTTGCTGTTCGAAATTCACTGTCGCAATGGGCGGCAGCATCAAGTTACCTGTTGTTGGATGAGAGCGGTCAATTCTTCAAAGGCGTTTGAATATCGCCTTCGATGCGACTTGTCCACAAATGGCTAGCGCCATCTGGTTGCACGTGTGATGAACGATCAACGGGCATCCCAATACACAAACATCCTCAGGTTCTGCCCCTAGATTTACGTATGTCGGTACATTTGGAAGCGTTTCGGACAAAATGTGGTGCCCGATGACTGCTAGCATCGCATTGTGTTCTCCGAGATCGTTGCCAAGGGAGGTGCTCTTCCGAGTTTCGGCTGGGTTTGAGTACCGTTTCATCACACTCTAACCGCGCTGTATCACGGTGCTTATACGGGACTACATAGGCTCAATGACTGTACTCGGTAGATAGGGATTAACAAATGGGAAAGTAGGCAGAGTCTTTATCTGGAAGATACATAGTTTGGCGACATCATCGTGATGGGGCGCACATCAACGAAGTGGTAGTATACCTACACCTTTACATCTTCCCCACGGGACCCATAAAACTCCACATGCAAAAGCCGCGCGTCTCCCATTTTTCGGGAAATCATCGACATATCTCCAACAGCTTTGACACACCTCAACGCAGCGCCTCCCCGGCCGTGCTCTTCCCGTAGAGCGACAATGCTCCACTACCCGCCGTCGTTAGGCAGCAGATCGTACTCCTTTCGCTAATACAGTACCAAGACACAAGCAGGAAAGTCTAGACTCCGGTTTCAGCCTTGTCAGTACGAGGCAGCGAGTAAGGTACTGGGATAACTTTGTGATGACAACGGCGCCTGATGACGACGACGACGGTGTACCTGTATGGGCGAGTTGCTGCTGGTGCTTGGTATAAGTTGATCGCCTCCTCAGGCTAGAAGGTCTTTTCTCACTTCAAGCTCACCATCAAGTCAACTTCTTCAAGTCAATTTTCTTGTTTATCAACCTTTCTATTCATTCACTCTTTGTCGCCGGGCGACTTTTCAATTCCCAACTACATTCCAGGCTTCTTCACTACTACCTGATCAACGACTTCGATAATCTAAACACTATTTCAAAATGAAGTTCACCACTATCATCGCCACCATCGTCTCCATGGCTGCTTTTGCCATCGCCGCGCCTGTCGCAAACGAGGGTATGCTCTCTTTCCACCCAAGCTCCACTATCGGCATTTATGGTTAACACGAAAACAGCTGTCGCCGTTCGTCAGAACCACGGCATGTGCGTCAAGGGCACTACCGCTGGTGTTGAGCAGATTGAGGGCTGCTAGAAACTTATACCCATGGATACGATACGATATAGAGGATAGAAATTGCTCTGGGTCGAAGTGAAGGACGAGGATTGAGTGGGAAAAGATTGCACAACGAGAGAACGATCTATTCAGATGGCATATCAACAGTGTTAGCTGGAGCCGATTTGGAGTAATACAAGACAATTGACAAAGCATCACCGTGTGATGAGCTTCAACCATACCTTTCAATCCTTATTACTCTCGTGACTTTCTTTTGAGGCTGACGACCTATTATAATACAGCGGAGACCCGTTATCACAAGCATTTTAGCAAGAGTGCATAAGTTTTGTCTTAGCACTGTTCCCTTATGCATGGGATCTCAAGCGCAGCTGCAATGGTAGATGGCAAGTATGTTTCTGCCTGAGCAGCACAAGTGTCACTACATCCCCCCAACAAAGCATTCAACACATGTTGTTTACTGCAAGGCACAGAGCTATAAGAGGAACAAAAAATGCAGGATTAAGTAGGCCGACGTGGCGACATCGCTAAATAGGTATATACGCTTGAACGCTTCCAAGAAAAAATGCCACCGACATAACAGTCATGTATTATGCAACGTCGTTGCATTCTCTGATCAGGGATACGCACCCAGACTCTGCTTCTTCTCTCTGTTCCTGTCCATACTCTTCCTCCCTGGCCTGAAAGCATCAAGACTAATTCTCCTTGCCTCCCTGTCCCTGCCTTCGTCTGCACCGCTAGACTCGCCCTCGCTTTCTCTTTCTTTCTCCTTCTGCTTCTTCTTTTCTACTTCTTTGATGGCCTCCTCGGTCAGCTCCTGTCTGTTCATGCGCTCTAGCACGTCCTTCTTGCGGGTTTTCTTGTCACCCAACCAAATCAGTAGACCGGCTGTGGCATTGCAGGTGATGGAGCAACAGAGAATGACGGTGGTGATGGCGAAAGGACGGTGTTTGTAGTAAATACCCCATGTGCACGCGCCGAGAGAGATCTGGAGTAGAGAGTGGCAGTCCAGAAGGACGACGATAGCAACGAGGAAACGAAGAGGGAAGGCGTAATGGGTCTCTGTCTCGTGGGGTTTGTAGAAAGAGTGAGATTTGCAGAACTTCTCCTGGTGGTGTTCCAGCTTCTCCTGTTGCCTGGGCGTCAAAACGGTGAATTCCCACTGCTTCTCAGGATCTGCTGGGTCTACGACACGGGGTCCAGACACAGGAGCGTGTTCGGCAGGAAGGTCGTTATGATCGGTAAGTTCGGGAAGCATCTCCTTCTTACGGCGCGACCAGGTGAAGTGGTGGTAGTGAGCGATGTAAATCATGTGGTAGGTATCTACGGCACGGAAGGGTGCGAGACCATCTCCCACAACAGCGAAAAGGGCAACAAGGACACTGTCAATGACGTGGACGACGTAGATTTGTTGGCCACCGACATTGACCCAGCCGATGAGGAAAAGCACCCAGGCCAGACCGAACAGGGTGATGAGGGTCGCGTAGAGAGTGACAAGGAAGCCAAGAGCTGTGATCTATCAGTAATGGTCTGTGAGAATAATGACAGAAATACATACGTCTCCTGACATACTGTCCGAACCCTTTCAGAGAGCGCTTCATCTTGGATCGTCGTGAGTGAAGCATATGTCGGACATGGTCGTTGACCTCCTTCTTGTCCTCGACACTCCAGCCAGACAAGTCAGCCTCTTCGGGAAGCACAGCGAAGCGAGACTCAGTGAGCTGCGAATCTATCGTCATCATAGTCGTCGTAGTAGCTTCAGTTGGCGAACGCTGAAGTCTTGGAGCCGCTTGCTCCTGTGCCTGAGCAGCACGGGCCGGTTCTAGGATGCGGTTGATCTCTTCTAGACTCTCAGTCTCGCTCTTCCGTCGACGTAGGTTGTACGTCGGCCGACGGTTGAGCCAGGGTAGATTGGGAATGAAAAGCGAATTCTGCATGTTTGTCAAAGAAGTAAGCGTCGCAACCTCAGGATCGATGGTATCGAGGACGTCGACCATGCCAGAGGTGTAGTTGGACGACATATCGTCTTCCGGTGCAGCAGCATGGGCACTCGTTGTCGGTGACTTTTCCTCCTCCTTGTTGCCCCAGAAAGGTATCCTGGTCTGTATTGCGCTCTTGACCTTCCGCAGTCGACTTCGATCTGGCTCAGGGTTCGTGAGGGTCGACTGACTCCCGTTGGAGGAGGAGAACTGTCCCAGCTCTTGTTCTTCGTCCAGTGCAGGTAGAGGCGTACTTGATCTTATTGTTGAGGCGGCATTGTGATTCTGTGCTGCTTGTCTCAGGGCGTTAGAGGAGGGTATACGCCGAATACCAATACTGGCTTGACGGTAGGCTTGGGGCCGTCGTGGGTATTGCTGGGGTCTAGTTGGCGCAGAGCTGCTTCTTGCTCGTTGTGCAGCAAGAGTACTGGATACGGGTCAGCCTCGCTCCTTCCCCTCGTCCTTGTGCGTAGAGCCTACCTGTACGTAACATGCGATGAGGGATCGCTCGCCCTCGTAGGCTTGGGGACATGTTGGCCAGCGTCAATGGATGACTCTAGCGAGGTAGGCGGTTCGATGACAGGTTGTCGTGTTGGCTGGCCTGCTGGTGTTCCGAAGTCCTGCGCATTGGTCCCAGGCTCGACGCTCTGGAAGCCTTCGTTGACAGCATGGGTACTGGAGTTCTCGTGGGGTGGCAGAGATTGGTGTGGAACATGCAGCTCGCCCGTACCTGAGCCCGACGATGTCGCTTCGGCGAGTCTGTTGCGCGCCGAACGCGTCTTGGACTTCAGCTTATCCATAGCTACTACCAAATCGAAGATGGGAAACGCAACTCCCAGCGCAATTCCAGGTAAACATGGCTTTATGACTTGGAAACGACGGTGGCCGAATGCAGGTTGGCGGCTAAAGATTGGCTTCACAAGCCTGGAATTTTGTCTTGGGGCACGTCATATTGCGCCGCTGCCACCACCAACCCCTTTCCTTGCCGTCTACTCGCATCGCACACGCGATAACGTTCGCGGGGATAGCCCATTGCTCTTTCAAGTCAGTGTTTGGGCTACAGATGTTAAAGAGCGACTGTAAGGATCTGATGAAACGTACAGCATGTTGGGCGATATCCTCAGGGAGTCAGGCTCCAGGGAGTGACCTCCACTGACCCCGGATCTGAAACTCTGGATAGCATCCTTGCAACGATCGTCTCGCTAACGGAAAACCGGATCCTACATGTCAGCTGCACGTTGACGCTATGTCTCGTGAGTCGCGCCCTGTACTGGCTGCGTACATGAATAAAAAATCTTAAATGCTCAAAGTCCAATTCCATACCTACATCTAGTTGCACCATCTGAGACGTTGCGGGAGGTGGAATGCAGGGTCTTATTCGAGCTAGCGAACGGGTACCTGTCCTAGCGCATCGTCCAACGCTCCGTCCGGCGCCGCTGGTTTAACGCTTTCGAGGTTGTAGCCTCATCCTAAACCGTTATGATGGTGATTATACTGTCCTCTGCTAAGAGCCTTGGAAACGCTTGTAGCGAAGTGCTGGTAATTTTTTCTTTGTCTGTCATGGAGGTGTTAAGAACAATGGCTCACACTTTGCTTTTTGACGTGTCTTATTCATCTATGACGACATGCATTCTTCTCAAACCCTAGAGAAGCTGGTCTACCACTCTGAGAGCTTAGTCCTCAAGATAAGCCTTCACATCAAGAATCAACTCTTGATCCTTGCTGTCCAAAACCAGCTTCCTAACCGCAGCCGCCGAAAGCTCAACCAAAAATTGTCGAGGAGCAGTATCCAGAAAATCCTCAAGAAAATCCTCAAGTCGATCAACACCCCAAGTACACCATGTGTCGACTATCAACTTTCGCATCAGATTCTTAGCTGAAGCTGTGCCTTCATAAATAATGTCAAGACATTTTGGACCAGGGACCGTGGTAGTAGGATCAAGCCCTTGCATCCGGTTATACAGTGCTTCAACAGCTAGGTTACGTGTTTGTACATCATGTAACCGCTCAGCTACTACGTACACCTTACAAATATCATAGAAACCCTTCGAATGGCTCTCGTCGTGGATCTGATTCGTGTAAACAGCTTCCAAATAGTGTGCGACGTCTTCCAGGACAAGATCTGGAGCAGCCTTGTAGAGGTCAACAATTTTGGTATCAAGGTTATTCCATCGGCCATTTAGAGCGCTTGCGAAGAACTCGGATCGTGCTGCTATGATCGACTGGTGAATATGCAGTTCTGAGCGGTCGGTATCTGGTCCGATCAACACTTTGACAAGGGGAGACTTGATGAAACTAAGTTTTTGTCAGTAGTGATGCAGACAGAAAGGATATCAGAGGCAATTCACCCGTCGATGTCTCGCTTTGGGGCTCGGACAGAAGTTTCTGTGTTCGGCTGAGGTTGAGGTGCCATAATGTCAGTGGAAAGATGATAAAGTCGTTAAGCTGGGTTGAGAAATTGCCAGTCAGGAAAATAAAGAAGAGAGATCATTCATATAGAAGCTAGGTGCAACAAATATTTCAGCCGTTCTACAATTGAAGTCTCTCGCAACCTTGAACTGCTTTCATTAGCTACTCGGCCCTGAAAGCTGGTGGTATGAATTCAACCCAGTAGCCCTAAACACTGGTTATTAGCATATTGCTTCTTCCACTTACTCTTGCCAATAAACTATCACTTACATCGGGATCCTTCACAAAAGCCAATTGTTTAAAGAGATGCTTGTACCCATCTGGCACTTTTCCATGCTTTCCGGCAACAGCATCTGCCGGTATACCCATCTGTTCTTCCTTCGCCTCATACAACGGTTTGATGACCTCGAACCCATGGCTCTTAACCCTTTCCACTGCTTCAGCGACATCAGGAACTGTAAACCCAAGGTGACCAAGCCCAATTCCAGGACCAGGGTAGTCATTGCCAGAAGAATAAGGCGTAGACGAGTCTGCGGGAATATGATATAATTCCAGTAAGCCCTTTGACGTTCGAAGATTAGCCATACCTATAAGTATTTTAGTGCTTCATCATAGGTAAACGAATCATGGATGTATGTACCAACGTCTCGTGGTCCGAGATAGTAGATCGTGAACGGCCCGGCGTTGAAAATGAAGATGACATGCATGCCCAAACAGTCACAGTAGAACTTCATGCTCTTCTCTGGATCCTTGATACGTATCATCATATGGTTGAGTTGGTATTCTGCGGTTGACGGGGAAATTGGCCTTGGTGGAGGTGTTATGTGTTTGTCCGCCTCGTATGGCCCTGGTGGATAATTCTCGTTGGAAGACGCCATAACTGTCTTGTGATGAACGTACTTTTGCAAGACCACAGCAACTTTTCCTTGGTCAATTCGCTCGATGCTTACCTCTACTTATATGCTATCGTGTTACACCGCTTCTTGTGGGGCGTGCGGGGTAAAGGATATACCCATAATATGCCCGAATGGTAGTAAACTCTCGATAACAGAGGCTGACTAAGTCGGAATAGAAAGCGGTGCATACAACATGACATACTCATAAAACCACTTGAATCTCTTCTAAGAAAATTTGAAGGTTCACGTATCATAACGTACGCTAGGGATAAAGAGTGTGTATTTCACTTGATGACAGCGCCGGTGAAAAGGAGGATTGTGCAAAGGACACAAACAGATTACCTCTTGGTACTTCCTTCTAGCAGTCAGTCTCCAGACTAAAGAGCGTTGCAGGCCAAGGCCACTTCACTCCGTCGATGGAGTTCATCAAGGCCGAGCCTCACAGCACGCGGGACGACAAACAACGCCGCTGTGGACGGATTACGACCGCTCAGTAGATAGATCGAGATGTGGCGTGTGTGAGCGAGGAAAGTGCAGGTATCCATGTCACGGGACCACGCGTCACTGCTCTTTCCCTGACAGCGAAGGCAGCCTAGATCCTCACGAGACGCGTTTTCTCCTCAACTCATTCACTGCGTTCACTCACCTTTACTTTGATCGCTCAGTGACTTGCAACCAACGATTACGTCGGACAACAGCTATCCACGGTAGTGTGTCGTCACTGCTTTCGCCAATCACTTACTTCAGCTCCACTGCACCAGAGTCCATACGTACCGAAAGTTCAAGATGGGTGCTTGGGGATACTGTGAGTGTTGAGCTTGTGACAGCAAACTAATCTCATCTACTAACGTAACGCCAGGCCTGTTCCAGTCAGACCACGACTTCGACATGGTCAGCGATCTAAGCCACGAAGCAGGACTCACCAAACTCGAAAAAGACGCCCGGGTCAGTACCAAAGCCACAGGAAAGAGTGATGAAGATATAGAGCGCGATATCTTCTACAGCATCTACGGCAACCTTTGTTCAGATCCTGAGTTGGTCCGCAGGCACCTTGACTCCAGTATCCTCGTTGACATGATCGCCAAAAAGGAGACGAAGATGCTGACCCCTCGCACCACTGGATTAAAGGAAAAGTTGTTCGGAGACTGGTCGACAGATCCTTGCTACGAGTACATCCTGCTCGGTGCTTGCGCTATGACGCTCGGATGCCAACTTCCTGCCACTTACCTGGCGATGCTCAAGAAGGTCTACACTGAAGGTGGAGTCATGCCCGACGGACAGCGGCAAATGAAGAAAGCTCTCTTTGGTCCAGGTGGCTACAAGAACGGAGAGCCGTATGACTTCAAGTCCAAGACCATCCTGGAGGAGGCAAACTCTAAACCCGCAAAGGAGCCCGAGGACAACGGACGAGGTTTCATGCTTATGAATGTGCCTGGTCCTGGCGGTTTCTTCAACACCGGTAAGTGGTCTCCTTAGACAAGCTGCATGTGAGGCATATGCTCACTTCGTGGACGAAATTCTAGGCATGACCACCACATCAACCTCGCTAGTCATCAAGGAACTTCGCTCGCAGTTGAATAAGCCAAATGAGTGTGGTGGCTGTGGTGTAGCATCTAGACCGAAAGGCGAGGCCCTGCTCGCATGTGGCAAGTGCAAGAACCGCAAGTACTGCTCAACTTCGTGCCAGAAGAAGCACTGGAAGATCCACAAGAAAGTCTGTGAGTCCGCCAAGGTTTCTCTGTAAGCCAGTGGTTTGCGCATGTACGTGGAGCCCGACGACGTGTGAAAGATGGAAGCAGGTCGGAGCTCCAGCTGTGATACCACACTGTGAGGGTGGATGGAGTAGGACATAGGGATCTGAACGTGAGTTATTGGGATTCCAGCCCATTATGTCATTAGTGTATGTCGTATAATACAATCTGCACGCAAGAGTTCTCGACTTACCAGCTGTGCCCATGTCTACAGACTTACCACTACAATGATCAAGGTCTACAGAGATGGACGAACGGAACCAGAAGCGGGCTTTGGAACAGGCTGATATTTTAATGAATTTTCAGATTCTCTCCCATCGCCGTGGAATTCGATCTCTAACCGGATGGCTATTCTGAATATCTCACAACACCGCACCGTCGTGATAATAACTAGTAAAATATCTTTTCTGCATGTCAGACAGTCAATCTCTGCTTCCTCAATCCAACATCTCATGTTCTGCTTGTTCCATCCTACCAGGCAAACATGCACTTGTTGTTCAACAACCTCGCACCCAACATGTCATACTCATAGCGGCTAATCCATCCGTCGTTACCATGTCCACTCAATCTTCCAAATACACTACCGCCCTTCCAAGCCACAACCTGTGGATCAAAGTCTCTAGGTGGCGGCCCAACGAGAATCTCTTTTCCATATCCTGGTCGGAGTTCTCTGAGTCGCATCTCCAGGAACTCCCTGAGGCCGGGTGTCTTGGAGGCGCCACCTACGAGCATGATACCACCGAAGAAGTCGCGGAGCTTACGGTCGTCGCCACGGGCACCTTGTGCAAGAGACTCGAGGATGGCTTGGTCGAGAGAGTGGATGGGGAGGATGGCATCGCGGGCCTCGACCAGTTTGGTCTTCTCGTGGATCGGATCGCGGAAGAGGAGGGGTGCGCCGTCAGTGTCGCCCATTGGAGTGTCGCGATCCGGGTTTGGGGTGTTACTTCCTTCCGGGCCAGGTGAGCCCGCTACGGATGATCGAGGTGTACCCTCGTTGTCGTTGAGGCGACCGAGGAGGTTGAAAGGGTTTGGTTGCGGGCGTTGGGGCGTAGAGACCGGTGCAGTGCTGTTGACAGGATCTTGTGCGCCATTTATGGTGGCTACGACAGGTTTACCCGCCGCGGCTTCAATAATGGCAATCTGTGCTTGTGAAATGGGATCGTTTGGTGAGCCATCATACAGATCGACCGAGCGCGGCACAACCTTCCTTCTGTTCTCGAGTTTCCGTGCATTCTCGAAGATCGAAGGCTTGAAGAAGCCCTGTGTCTGTCAGCAAAGCCTATAGTTTAGGAACATGTGTGACTTACCATGACAGATAGCATAGTCTCATCGTACGTCTTGAACGTGTACTTCCGAGTATCCTGACCCGAAGCTCGAAGATGAAAGTCCCACGTTTGTACCGTGACTGAGCCTTCATCCATGGAGCAGAACTTCTGTTTCAGCTCTTCCGCGAGGAGGAAGTCGTATCTTCGCTTCAAGTTCATGTCCGAATATGGGAAATGACCATACAGCATCATCTTGATGAAAGTCTCCGTCACGTCAGCCCCACCCATCTTCAAGTTAACGCGTGACTCTTCGGCACACAGCCCTTCGTCGACGCAGCAAATAGACGTCTTCTGAGCACCAATATCAACAACACAGGCAACACCGTAGCCAGCACCAAAGGTAGCCGAAAGCGACTCCTGTTGCAGGCAAACCTTTCCAAGGCCAAGATCCCTCATGAGAATGTCGAGTATCATAGTAACGTACTGTCGCTCGTAGAGATCGGGTATGATAAAGACGCACTTGTAGTTAACAAGATCCTTTAACCTGGTGATGCCAAGTTGATTCCGGAACGCCTCTTCTAATATCTTCGAGATGTCGTGGTAGATCTGGTTGCGGTCTCGATAATCTTTCTCGTTGAACGTGCCATTCCGGATCGGCCAGAACAGCTTGTATCGTGGGTTGGATCTTTCCGGTATCCGCAGGGCGTCATGCCCGGTGAAGAAGTCGGGGGCCTTCTTTGGGTCTGCCGGTAGTTCTGTCCACTCGATGCGATTGATGTCGTTGTGTTCTGAGATGATGTCGGGAGGGGATTTTCGGTTGAAGTTCGTTACGAGATCTTTCGAGTTGGGTAGCACTCGTCGCTTGTTTGATCGCATTCGCGTTCTCAGTTCGGATGACATGGCCATGTATTGGTCGGCAAACTGGTCGCAAGTTAGCATTGACTGGGAATGCTGTGTTAGAGTACGCACATCCTCTCCAAACCACTTCTCAGGCAGGGCGTCCGCGGGCAATTCGCCTTCGACCTTCATCCGCTTAGGACTAGGCTCCCCCTCATCTTCTTCGTCTTCGCTCTCTTTCCATTTTCGTGCGATGACCATAGGCACGGTCTTCGGTAGCGCATCAGACCCAAGACCTATCCTCAAGTTCTGGCTGCCAGGGTGTATCACGATGAGCTTGGAGATATCCGTTCTAGAGGCGAATGAGACCTCGGCGTCTTCCATGGTTTCATCTGCAACCTGTGGCGTGGCTCCTTCTGTTGCCGGCACCCCCAATGCTCGTGCGCGATCCTTGTCCCTGGCTTCCTGTACTATGCGCGCCCTTTCCTCATCCTTTGGGTATCGTACAGCGAGGAATTGTTCGTCGCGCTTCAGGAACTCGGTGTAGTAGTTCTTCTGGTTGATCATGCCGACCTGGGGCCACGTCGTGAGGTCCATATTGTTGTCTGTCCGCTCCAGACCTGCAAGCTTGTTAGTTGCCATACAGTGTTGTGGCGTGCAGATGCCCTACCCTCCTCTCTCAACTGGGCTCTGCCCGACTTTTTTCCAACCATGTTGCCGAGTTATCTGCCAACTGCCAGTCGTGTCCTCCAATGCAAGCTTGCGACAATCGCGATCCAAGAAGCGAGTCAATGACTTGATGTTTGCCACGTGAGAGAAAGATCGAGTTGTAGCGTTCTTCGCAGTGTTGCAGCAATGCGCGCGGCGGGTGAGTGTTGGAGACTTTCTTATTCCAGAATGTTGTCGTTATCGGGAAAGGCGGTCTATTATTTCCAGAAGCGGTCGATCTCGTCGTGTCGGCGGGATGGCTTTGTTGCGCGCGTTGGTGTTTGACAGGGAGGTGCGACAATTGAAGCCGACCGTGGTTGTGGTGATCTTGTGAGCTGTGGTTGGAGATGCCGCTTGCCTGACTGCAGGTGGTCTTGAAGGCTAGCCTGAGGCTGTTCGTCGCGGTCGCGCGTCTGGCCAGCCATTGGGTCACGAAGCTACCCAGGTACGCGCACGACCCCCAGATCCTCGAACCATCATGTCTACCAACTCGCCATCATTCCACAGCGCTTGTGGCCATGAAATTCATCGCTGATGGGCGCGCAGGTTTTATCTCGAAGCTTCGAGCAGGAAAGATTAGACTTTGTTAAGACCTTGAAAGAGCTGAAAGAGTTGGAATCCGAGGCACCTCGTCTTCTGGATTCTACCATCAACATGCAGCTACAATCAGTCAGAGGACGTACTCCGGCGTTGGAGCAAGGTTTTCTACGGTTTGAAGTTGCATCGCACAAAAAGAGCTAAATCACGACCACAGGTGTGTGTGCTCTACGTTACCATTGATGGGCCATATTCTTCGAATAGATCCTCAAATACGCTGGACCAATCTTACGCCTTGTAGATCCAGTATCCTCAAACTACCAATCTGTAGCACATGTCATTCAAGAGCCCAAGCGATTCACATCCAATTATGTATCTGTTGGGTGGGATATCTCTGTCCGCCTCATAAGACCATCTCGGCATCATGCTAATATACATTTCGTGAATCTCGTGAAAACATCCCACATGTCTCATCGTAACATCATCGTACATGCTGTTCAGATCTCCCTTTAATGACAATACCATACAGGTATCCAACAGGAGTAGCCATCCATGCTTTCTCAGATGAGTAGGGTGGCAGCCAACACACCGAAGAACAGCGCAATGAATGATGCCTGGGTATCTCCTGCCTGACCCTTTCTACTCTCAGTCGCGATCGCAGCGGTAGTAGTGACAGTCTCGGTGGACTTGGCCTCGGCATCCCTTACTACGTTCAGAGTAGGGTGATCGATAATGTGATGACCGCCAGTGTGGTGAACCATCGTGTGGTTCCAGTAGATGGGCCTATGGATACTGAGGGAAGGTAAAATAGCCACCGAGGATGTTGAGGCGATCGAAGACGAGTTGACGATGACATAAGTAGGGAAGTGCTCGAGAGAGCCACTGGCGCTAGATGTAGGTGTCGAGAATGTAGAGGCAACGAAAGACGAGCTGTTAATTACATGGCTAGGGGATAACTCGAAAGAGCTGCTGGCGCCAGATGTAGGGACCTTGACAGAAGACACTGGTGTGGAGCCAACGCCAGGAGGAATAGCTGTGAAGGACCAGGTGATGGTAGGTGGGGAAAGAGACGACGAAGTAGTACTAGCAGTGACTCTAGTGACAAACTTGGTGACAGTGACCTGAGTTGTTGACTTGACCGTCTCAGTCGTGGTGGGCTCTTCTATCATAGGCGTCTGACTGTCCGAGGTAGCCACAACAGGAACGCTAGAGGTCAGGTCTACTGTCACGGTGATGGTACGCGTTGTGGTGGCGGTGACAGTGGATGGGCCTTCGGTCTCGGGACATAGATAGGTCAGAGTGGTCTCATGTCCGCGCAACAGCACCGGATCGGTGCAGAGCTTCGGAAGATCAGTGCAGTCGTCGCGAGGAATCATAGCCGGAGCGTGAATGTGCTCCATGATGTGACCCTGTTGACTCGCTTCGGCGGCAGCACCTGCTGAGTGTCAGTCAGCTGGGACGCAAAATCGCTCAAGTATGTGGACTGGAGTATGCTTACCAACAACTGCGACAAGGGCGAGTGCACGCATACTATGCATCTTGTTGAATAGATATGGTTGTGATCGAGCGAGCGACTGAAGGTGTAGCGGGTAGAAGTGAGATAACGAGTGTGAGCAGCAAAAGAGTATGGGAACGATGAGAGATTTTAATGAGTGTAATGAGGTGAGAAAGTTGTAGAAGGAAATACTAAAGGGAATGTTATGATAACAGATTGAGCTGTACGTGCTTTGGTCGCGGTCAACAGAGACTAGCTTTATTTCCCTCGGTGGGGACCAATGGCGTCGAGGATATTACCTGGAGGTGAATGGGAGATTCGTGTGCGTTTGCACTTACGTGAATCGTGCTCAGTGTGGTGACCACCACACTCTTGTATGCTGTACGGAGGACAACGCGCAACCGACATCATTACTGCAATCCGATAGTACGTCCAAACAGTACTCGAAGGTGACTAGCGAAGAAAGGTCAATGTAAAGAAACTGCCCGACCCAAAGACGAGGATGGGAAGCTCAATCTCAACATCAAATGTGATGAAGGAGCGAAAGTCTATTCTGATCGGACACTGAGGCCAAGATAGTAACAGCAGGGATGCTCTCGAATACTGATGCTGTATCAGCATAATCTTGTGGGAAACGTTCGTCATGCTCGCCTGAGCGGGCCAGAACCGATGACCCACCGCCAATACGTACAAAGTAGCATTGGTCTTCATCCAACAATGTTTCCAACATCGTCAAGACTGCTTCCATTCAGTCTCCATATAGCTCCATCAAATGGTTCAGCATTTTCCGTTGTAATTCTAGGAGCTGCTCTTTTGAGATTTTACCATTAACTGGAGCTGACTGCGGATCCGTGACTTCAGTCGGATCGTAGCTGGAGCCAACTACCAAATACGGCTTCACACCAAAAAAGGGAACGCCCAAGACCTTGAGTGATGAGGTTTGCGAGTCTACCATGGCTTTACACGCTCGGTATACTTTGGCGTCGTATTGATCAAGTTCTTCTCTTTCGCGTTCTGGTGTCTACGTGTTGTCAGCATCATTGAATGGGGAATCAGACAGTGAGAAATACGCGAAGTAAAGGTGTGTTTTCCAGAAGACCTGGCAAAGACCTACGAACGTCAGTCTAGTATCACGGGAACAAGGTCAGATTACCTACAACGCAGCTCGATTAGTTCGCTCATTCTCCCGCTTGAACTTGTGCTCATCAATGAGATTCTTGCGCCCGGACTCCCAAGACTTGACGTTTGACTCTTGGTCTTTCATCAACTAACTTCTACGTAAGCATTGTATGCTGATTTATACAGGGTGTATAGCCTACCTTACGGACGGCAGGAGCAAATTCGGGATTCTGAGAAGCTATCTTGCTCACACAACGCAGGCCTTGCTTCCATTCCGTGATTGTTGAAGGATCAATGAAAGGGGAGGAGACTCTGTCCTGTGGCTTGGGAGGCGGCTGTCGATGTTGTAGAGCCGAACGACCAGCCAGTCGTGGATCAGCAGGTTGCTGATATGTGTTGCTTTGTCCAGAGGAGTAAATTTGCTGAGCGTCTTGATATCCTTGGTGACTCTGGTTGGGCTCGTATGGCTGTTGCTGATCCTGGTATTGCTGAGCCTCTGGTTTTGGAAGGTTTGCGAGTGTAGCCAAGATCTTTTCGAGATCGAGGTTCTGGCTGATATTATCCGCCATGATTTTGATGGCAGTCTGACTCCTCAAGCTGATGGTATTAGGGGAAATAAGAAATGCTAGAGTGGTGGTAGTTTGATGTTAGCTGGACGCGTGAATGACGGCACATGGCGCGTGCTGTTTGCGCTTAGATCAATGAGAATGTAAGGGAAGAAGCAATCGTCGGACTGCGCTACGCATGCTGTCTCTTTCCACAATCTGAAAATGAATGCATTAGCGACCGTCTGATGCATGCATGAGATAGATGGAATTAGCATTTTAGCTTGGTACGGCTGACGATGGACGTTAGCGGGTAGATGGGCGGAAATCTCCGCATCGAACCCTAGTCCATCTCAACTTTTGGAAATCGTCGAATCATTCGATATCCCGCTCCGCAATCTTCACGACATCCTCCCTTCACAACCACAACACTTGACTCTCGAGTGCTTCTCCCACGCATCATGTCGAAGTCACCAAAGGACTCAACGCGATTCACAGCCACCGGAGTGTGGGCGCACACAAGACCTGGCGGGCGGGCAACAACGCTGCAATTCGCAGATCCCGCACCGAAAAATGAAACGCCACAGCAGAAAGTCAAGCGGTTAAGAGAGGCTGCAAACAGGGCGAAGATGGCACAGGTCACGAGGTGGGATTACATGTATCTGTACGGCAGAATGGCGGCGGATGCGGCGCATAGATTTACCGTCTACGGCTTGATATTTGCAACGGGTATGTGGGCACATGGCGGGCCAATGGCTACACTGGTCACAGAATAGCAGAGATGCTAATTGTCTACACAGGTTGCGTTGGTGTCCTCGCAGTCTTCTCAATAGGTGACATGATCGTCTACAATCGACGGAAACGAGCAATTTACTTCGCCCAAGAAGAACAAGCCCAGGCCAAGATCCTCGAACTTGCCCGTTCTGCGGTCGCATCAGGAACCGCCACACCCGCACAATCCGCACTCGTCACAGGTATCGCCGAGGAGCAAGAAGCGTTTGAGAGGAAGAAGGCGGAGCGAAAGGCCCCTTCAAAGCTGCTGTGGTGGCTGCACGGTGACTGGAAGGAGGAGCAGGCAATCGCAGAGCAGAGGAGACTCGCTGTAGAGGAGATTAAGCGCCAGGAAGCGCAAGGAAACACAAACCTGGGCATTGCTGCTGCAGTGCAAGAGGCCAGGGCACACGACACCACATCCACATTCACAGCCTCGACGTCATCAACACCAGTAGTCGGAGGCCCTCTGGACAACGCAGCAGAGAAGGCAGTACACAAGGTCGAGGAAACCGGCAAGGGATGGTTTGGATGGATGAAGGGCGGATCCAAGAAGGAGTAGATGTAAGAAAGAATAGGGGAGGAATCCGGCGGAGCGCGAAGCCAGACGCTTCGGTGTACCATATACGACCTCAGCTTGTACATTGCTGTCACATTAGATGTTTGCATGATGGAGTTCTTCAGAGTCATGAAGGAGTCCACGATTGTCTTGGGCATCTCAGCTTCATGTCTATATTGCACGTTCAATCCATATCGAAGTTGAATGCTTCTCAGCCTGACAAACCAAGCGCATCGCTCACTGGTTTCCTTGACCAGCCACTGGGATATAGCTTCGTCGTTCTCGTGCACGCTGCCTTCAGTCAGTCTACCATCTACCCGGTCTCGCTCACATGCACGTACCTCTCTCCATCCCTCGACCCAAGGCCGTAAAGCTGCCCACCCCAAGAGCCCCACTGTCGCCCCGATAAACACAAAGACCACTGCCTGGTCTTTCGCAGAATCCCGCTGGAAGCATGTTGTGAGCACGTTCTCCTCTTTCTCTCCAGCGCAGAAGCCGTAGCCGAGGCAGAACTGACGGTTGCAGTCGTTGCATGTTTTCTTGGAGGCGCGGGGTTTTAATTCAAGGGCGGCGGGTTTCTTGGTTGTGGACGGCGCATCGAGCGCTACAATGGTGCTGTTGCCAAAGCAGGTGCATTTGCAAAACGATGTGGGTGCTACACCATATCAGCGAGTTTCTGAGCATGGGAGAGGCGAGACATACTGGCTGCGAGCGATAAGGAGAGGGACGAGAGGAATGTTAGGAGAAGGAAGAGGAGGTATGGTGGTCTCCTCATCGTGGGTCGATGGCGATCAACGGCAGAAGACGTAGAGGTTCGTGTAGATGATGAAGCAACCGAATCGTCGAAGGGATGTCTATATGTCCTGCTTCTAGACCTTTATCCCAGTGCAGTCGCGATGAGTATCCAATGGATCAATAGACGAGTGGAGCTCCAAACCTCCGCCCGCATTCGCGCTAACACCAGAGAGCTGGGTCCCTTGCTCGCGCTAAGCATTTTCCTTTCCCCTCCGGCCCCGACACTCCAACACGACGCTTACAAGCGCCGGTCAAGCTTGTAGCATATCTTCTTTGATTGAGGTCCCCTGAAGCCTTTGCGCGCAGTCATCTACATCTGTCGCACGCGCGCAAAACTTGCGACCCAATGCCAGCAGCACAAGCGGCTAATTCTCCCGAAGCGCAACCCGAAAGCAAGATCGTTCGCCTGCACATTACGCCTTTTCGCCCCGATCTGCTCAAGGTCTACATCGCGCCGTCTATCCTTCCCTCTGCGCAAAACATCTCATACCATACCGTCGCCACATTTCCCGAAAAAGGCTTCGGCTACGTAGAGCTACCCGAGACCGAAGCTCAAAAGATCAAGAAGAAGCTGAACGGCACAATCTTGAGAGGCTCCAAAGTGCGCATAGAAATGGCGAAACCTGAGAAGCGCAAATCTCTGGTGGGCGACGCTGTCGAAGACGTCTCGGACGCCGAACGACCGTCCAAACGCGCAAAGAAGGACAAGAAGGAGAAGAAGGAGAAAAAAGAAAAGAAGGACAAGAAGAAGGGGAAGGAGCAGGGCGTACTGGACGGCGTTGAGCTACCAGAGGACAGGAAGGTCAAGCGTGGATGGACCGAACCAGCGCCCAAGAATAAGAAAGACCGGAAGGATAAAAAGGACAAAAGCGACAAGGAGGCCAGAAAGGAAGCGAAGAAGGAGCGCAAGCACTCCAAGTACACCAAAGAGCCTGAGGTGCTCTTCAAGGCGAAGCTGACGCCTGTTGCCGCGACAGAGGTTGCGCACAAGGACGAGAAGAAAGGGAAGAAAGAGAAGAAGGAAAAGAACAAGTCCAACCGAGACGTGGTAATCCATGAGTTTGAGAAGAACATCAAGACCCCCAGCTTCTTGAAACAACCACAGGTGGCGCTATCGACGAAGCCTGCAGTCGACTATGTCAATGGACAGGGGTGGGTAGATGAGGACGGTGTTGTCGTCGAGCCTGAGACTGGAAAGGCCAAGGCTAGGAGGGCTTTGGAGTTGGTAGATGCGCCTTCAGAAGCTCAAAGAGCCTGGATTGATGGTACAGCAAAATCTTCGTCTACATCCAAGGACCAGAAGAAGAAGAAAGCTACACCTCCCCCATCATCGTCTGAATCTGAAGACGATGAATCATCAGTGGTTTCGTCTTCTTCGGAAGATGAGGACTCTTCCGACTCTGATTCAGAGGAAGAGGAAGAGGAAGAGGAGAAGGAGGAATCAGAGCCCGAATCATCTGCATCTTCTCCAGCCCCAGTCGCTAAGAGCAAGAAAACCCCCGAAGAGGCTCAGCCTACCATGACATCAGAGAAAGAAGTCCACCCGCTTGAAGCACTGTTCAAGCGTGCAAAGCCCGCTGATGGCGCGACGTCAACCCCCACCAAGAAGCTCACTCCGATTGACACATCCTTCAGCTTCTTCGACAACAACGAGGACATCATGGAAGCCGACGGCGAGCCCACTGAGGGAGCTCCTACCACGCCCTTTACGCAAAGAGACATCGAGTGGAGAGGTCTACGAAGTGCAGCACCTACCCCAGACACTGCTGCCATTGGCCGCCGCTTCTCCTTCGACTGGCGCAAGAACAGCCAGGAAGCTGACGACGACGAGGACATGGACGACGTAGACTCACTTGCTGAACAAAGATTGTCTCACAACACGCGAGCGAATGCCAGCAAGCTAGCCGGCGTTGCGGAAGAAGACGAGGACGATGTGGCTACCGGCGCAAACGAGCAAGAGCCTGAGAGCGAGTTCAAAAGATGGTTCTGGGAGAACCGGGGAGATTTGAACAGGGCGTGGAAGAAGAGGAGACGAGACGCTTTGAAGGCTAAGCGTCATAGTGAGAACAGGAAGATGACGGGTAGCAGGAGAGTTTGATGCACGCGACGAGAGTGATCATGGTATTCTTATTGCCTTGCGCACTCTTTGATTACTATGGGCTCACGTCTTCCCTTGAGAGCCTGTCCCTCGCATACTCTGAGACTGTCAAAAGTCTCTCAATTCTATCGTACATTACTTCTGAGCATTCCAGTCTCTGTGTAGCCTCTTGCATCGTCCTATCCGGCCTCGATACTTACACATCAACTCCTTTAAACATGACACACCTACCCCCTTCCCTCTCTCCACCGGCCCAACTACCCTTCCTCCCCTCTCCAACACACGCCTCTTCAGCCCTCGTTAATACAGGAGTCGTTTCTTCCTCTGCATCCGCCGCCACATCCCTCGCTTCAGAATCATGTTTCTGGCTTGAAGCCGTAGATGAGGAGCTCGGCATTGTGGCGCAGAGGGCACCACTTATCATACCTTTTTCTGTCGCGGTGATGATGTCGGTGGGTGTGTGGTACAAGGCAGGTTTTTGAACTTCCGACAGCGGAGAAGCAGACGTGAGATTTGAAGATGCGGGAGTGGAGGTTAGGGGCAAGGGGTTGATTGGCGGGGGGGCTGGCTTATCGGATGTAGTTGCTGACGTAGTCGGACTCGGTGCAAGAGCTGGTTACGATGTTAACAAGAGGGCGTAAGAGTGAGGGTATGGAGAGAATGCGTAGGTGTACGTACTAGGAGTATCGTCAAATTGTCTGCTATTCCTTCGCTTCTCTGTGCTGCTACTCATTTTATCCCGGAGATTGGCGAGCCATGTCATTTTGCTTCAGAACTTGGATGATATTTGAGATTCAAGGTATGCGATATCGAATGTATAGTAACAAGATGTGTGCCAGTGAGGATCAATAGCAACACTTTGTCTCTCGCAAGAAGAATCACAAATAAGAGCTATTTGGAACCAACTCAGCTATCCAATCTTACGTATACCTACCTTTATCCCGTTAAATGCAAGCTGTCTGTAGCACCCTTCGACCCGTGCCTCGTCCTGATGACGTACGCGGGGTTTACCTTGCTTACATCCAATGTCACCCCATCCCATCCCGTCCTCTCAGGCATCCCAGCACGAGGCATTAAACGCATGCCTGTCAAGTACGCCACGATGTGTCGTACACACATGTCATTCAAATCCCGCAAAAGTGATATGCCGTGGAAAACGGATCGACACTGGGATATGGTCCGTTAGGCGCATATGTGAGGATCAGCGGCGTTAGCTCTGGATCTGCAGCACCCGCCTTGTGCAGAAGAAGCAAGCATCTGATAAGGGTGTTCAGATAGGATAAGGAGGAATGTAGGAGATTTGAGGACTATGAATAAGGACTTGATGGTTATCTTAATTATCAATGTAATATCTATCTCATCTGCTTGTTTGACTGACCGATAGTAGAATTGGAGTAAGGTGTATGTTGTGCATACCTACTCAATTGCTCGGAATGAATGACGACAATGGCTTGTGTAACTGATACTCGATGGTTCTTCCATCTCATCTCAAATGCATCGTGAGCATAGCGTATGCTATCAATACGCCTCGCAGTACCTACGGAACTCTCAATCTATCGACTGCTTTCTTCGGGGACTGCTGTTGCATTAGCAGGAACTTGGGTATTATCAGAAGCATTGCCAACCCCGCTGCTCTGAGATTGTGGTGCACCCCTCCTACCCCTCTGTCCATCAGCATCATTGTTGCCCCTGATCTGACGCTCAAGATCACGAATGCGTTGCTTCAGGGCTTCATTTTCCTTTTTGACTTCTTCCAACTCCGCCTTGTGTTGTGCAACTTCCTCGTAGCGTGGGGTGCTAACGACACTCGAGCTACGGTGATCTCGCTGATTAGGATCGCCGGTCGCGGGTTGCGAGGAGATGGAGTAGCGATGTGGGATGTAGCCCGGTGGCAGACCGCTACGGGAGACGCTCGAAGAACTGCGGTGGCGGCGGGAGGACGTGGGATGCATCGGACCGGTTGAGGCTTCGGCATGGGCGACGGATGAGTCTGCGGTGCTTGACATGGAGGTGTTGGAGGCTACAGAAGCAGAATGTGCGCGTAGAGCCGAGAGCTCACGCGTCAGACGGTTGACAACTGCCTCTTGTTCCTTTTCGAGCTCGAGATGCATCTCTGCTGGCGTCATGGGGCGTGGGTGTCTCATGGGAACGCCTGCAGAGTCGACGCTCGCCTGGACGTAGCCACTCGCGCTGGGACTGAGGGGCGGGAAGCTGTGTCCATGTTGTGATGTTGAATGTACGGGCGGTGGCAGGGTACCTCCGGGTGATGCAAGAGGCAGCGGTGGGGGGCTCATAGCCATCTGTGACGCCCGCCTTGAGACTGTTGCGGATGTTCGACGTGACAGCGAGCCTGACGCCGGCTGTGAGGTCGACGGGTTGCTTGTGTTAGCAGGACCCGGATGGGGCGATACAGGCACGGTATTCAGATCGGGAGCCATTGCAGTGGTGTGGGTGAGAGATGTGCTATCTTTTAACGTCTACTTATAACGTAACTGGTGGTAGTCGGTGAAGGGAGATGTTGGGCGTGGTGGGTGTTGTCCAAGGACATGGATGGAAAGTGCATCAGCGGAGCGCACGAGCGACCGAGAGGGGCAAGAACATTCACTTGGTTGCCATGATCTTGTCGGACGTGCTTGCCCCGAACGCGTGTTTGCGCTTTAACCGGAATCTGCTTGCCGACTATGTTTGGATGGTGTTGGTCGAGTAGAAGCGAAGCTTGCTCAGGTGCCGTCCCGTCCAACCCACTGCGCTAGCATGTACCACTCTGTTGCAAAGCCCTTGAGACCCTTGCTTCCCCACACGATCACTGTATCAAAGAGAAAGAACAAACTTCTTCTTTAGGAGTACTCTTTCCTACTACAAAAGAGCATACAGAGAGCTATATAGATATAGATTAAAAACCTAGAAGACTACAATACTGTTAATCTTAATAGGTTATCTTATTAGAAGATAACGTAGGCTGCAAGGTAAAGCTTGTTATGTCTATACCTGTTCGGTTTTTCCCTCGTATACGGTGCGATGAACACGATGGAGTTGTAAGGATTCACGCATCCACATTTGAATCGCTTCCAAGACGTGTGTTTGAAAGTCGGAAAAGTTTATTTGGTATTGTGCAAGCCCATTGTTCGCTCGCTCATCCTGTCCTTCCTTCGGCCCGCTCCTCGCTCACGGCGGACAGGCTCCCCCAGCCATGAATAACCCAGCCCTGGGCCCCTATAATCGCCTTGCCTTTGCCTAAGCGTATCTTCAGATGTCGCAAACACGCTTTTGGATGCACGCCGTATATTCCTCCAACTCCAAGCGCAATGCTCTATTGTGGCTAAGCCCCGAATGTGAATAGTCGCTCTCAGAAAACACTCGTGATAGCCTAGTACGTCCTGGCCAAGTTGCGGAGGTACCAGTCGACAAGCCTCCTGCCGACCTTTGCCTCTGAAACGTGAATAAGGTCCTGGTAGTTGTTAACAGATGTATCTCTCATTTCGATTATGTTTGTACTTACACCCTCCATGGCGTAGTCGAGATCGCTAGCTTGGATGATATCACCATCCAGCAGACCGCCCTCGGCCCACCTTATCTGCCTGCTCCTCTGCTTGTTGACAAGCAACCAGCACCTCAGCTTCTCTGGCTCAACCTCCAAGAATCCAGCGAGCTTCTTAAGATCCATGGTTGTGTAGAGCTTGAGGTAACTCTTGACGGTGGGCGACATCATGTTGTTCTTGACCTCGTCCATGAAGATGCGGAGGTGGTGCTCCACGGGGTCGATGTTGACCTCTGGGTTGTCGAAGTCGGGGGGTGTGGGGCTGATGAACTTGGGGCAGGCGGTGCGGAACAGCTCCTCGAAGAGAGGGAGAGATTCAGGGCCACCGCGCTGCAGCCTGTTAAACTGCTCTCCGTACTTCTCCCTCAGAGCAGTGTGAATGGTGTCATCGAGCCTGGTGGGCTGGAACGCTACGCAAATGGCGACAAGTGCGTACATCTGGTCGTTCTTCTTGGTGATCGAGTCGTACTGTGCGTTCTTCTGGAAGTTCTTTGTCCGTGAGACGTAGACGAGGATGTGGCTGAACATGCGGATGGCATCCGAGTATCGTCGCATCATCATGTACGAGAATCCGACGTAGTAGTATGTGGTGAAGTGTGCGGCCATGACACGGGCGAACATGGCCTTCTTGTTAAGCTCAATGTCGTCGAGCGTCTTCAGCGCCAGGCTGAAGTCTCCGAGCAGGCAGTGCACGCGGAGCAGACCGATGATGGAGAAGTATCCCAACATCTTGTAAAGCGGCCTGTTGCCGTACTCGCCAGCGTACAGACTCGCGTCTTCGCCCCGCTTCATGGCCGCGAGCTGCTCGCTAATCTGTGACCGCTGGATGAGCGAGTACAGGACGTTGAGGACACTGTAGCAGCCCCATGTGTTTGGGTTCTCGCGCAGGAGCGCAATCTCCTCCTCGTTCTCGTTCTTCTGGGCGACCCGTTGGCGGTAGCTGCAGAAGCTGTTGAACTGGTAGATGAACTCGTCGATCACATCCCAGGCCCAGTAGTACTATCCGCAGTGTTAGCCCTGCCATGTGCCTACTGACCCAGGTTCCTTACGTTTGGCACTTCCAGGTCGACGGGACCCTCGGAGTTCAGGATGTAGTGGAAGAGGTTGCAGTAGCTGTCGTAACTCGCAAACTTGGTCTCTAGTGTGGCCTGGAATTCGAGGGGGGTTGCCGCAGCCTGCAGTTGCGCGTGGATGTCCTGGTTGCTGTTGATCGAGGGCATGCGGTCGAGGTCCTCCATGCCGTCGTATTGGACCTGCTCCCGGTAGTCGTTCGCCATGGCCTCCTCCTCGACGTCTGAGTCGTCATCCGGGGCGCGCCTGGCAGCCTCGCCGTTCTGGTACTGCGGCGGAACACGCTCGCGCAGACTCATGATGGGTATTCGTTTGGGCGACGGCACACGGGTGCTTTAGGGGGGGTGAATGTCGTGTCGTGGTGCTGCTCCCCGCCTTGCCGCGAAATTTGGCGTTCTGTGCGCTTGCTAGCGTCAGTCTGCTATCGATAGCACCCAAGCACTCGCAAGTGCAGGCGCGACTGGGATCAACACCGAGGGAGGGGCGCCGCGCCAGAATCCACTCCACTCAACCCTCACGGTTGGCCTCTATCGTGCACTCGTCCTGATTCGATTCACCGGCATCCACCTCAGTCTTGGTGCACCGCGATGGCGTGAGCAAGTCTGGCGAGCCCATGCAATTCAACGGCGCCGGGTCCGTAGTTTCGCCCTAGTATGCGCGCATTCATGGTGAATCAATAACGGAGGCTTTAGGCGCGCTCGGTGCATGTTATGATGTCTTCGCATCGCATGTGGCTGATAAACTACAAAAGCCCGCCGTCCCCTATCCGTGGAGCTTCTGGAAGCCACCTGCATTCACAGCCGCTGTCAAAACTCTACTGTCTCTACCATCCACGCTACAGCTCTCGTCGCAGCGCCTCATCGTTATATCCGCGCTGTGACTCGCTTATTACCCGCCATCATGACCTACACCATCGTCCTCTTCGTCACCCGCAACCCCAATCTCACCTCGGAAGAATTCAGAGACCACTATGAGCACACGCACATACCTCTGGCCCATTCTCTCCTCGCGACGTGCTGGCCGATCGAGTTCAAACGTCGTTACCTCGCGCGGATTAGCCGGAAGGGTTTCGGTGGACCGGCAAATCCAGACCGACCACCTCTGATGTTAAGGGGCGAAATGATGGAACTCGACTGTGACTGCATCGCAGAAATGACCTTTGACAGCGAACGTCGTTTCCAAGAGTTCTACAAGAAGATATATGTAAAAGAGAACGCAGCTATTCTGGCAAGAGACGAGGAGAAGTTCCTGCAAAAAGGAAAAACAAGGATCATTGTCGTAGGCGAGACTTGGAGCACGGATGAACACGGCGTCACTACAAGTGAGATGGGCTACGTCTGCAAGAACGAGAGGTCGGACAGTGAAGCCAGTGGTAGTGGCGGAAGTTGAAACAAGAGACGGATCCAGACATGCGGCCGCGAAGAACCACAGACCACGCGCGCCATGTGAAGAGCTGAGGTATTTGCATTTGGGACCCGGGTCAACGGATTGGCGCTGAACAATCGCGCTACAACCCAAGATGATCGGCGTTCGAACAATTTGGGAAGGGGCTGGCGCGCTGGGCGCGATTAGGCACCCTATCGCTACCAGTGTTTATCGTGGGTAGGAGTTTACTGGGTGTCTTTCTGAAGCTTTCGTCTTATACCACTTCTTTCGATCTCTGAGGCGTTTGGATGCTAGTCTAGATCGCACAGAATGCTTTTTAATCAATGCACTTCATCCAATTCGGTTCCACGACGTTTGTTGACACCAGTAGAGAAACTTACCAGATACGGACTAGTAAAATCCCCATAATCATCCAGACTCCAAAGTATGTGCATAGGTTGCTCAAAGCTCACAGACACAAAAGCATCGAGTAGAGAACTAACACCAATGAAGAAGTTTGCGGATTCACACTGAACTGACAATTTCTAAGTCCACTGGTTCTCAAAGCTTCCCCTCCTTCGAATGCCTATACACGTAGTGCCAATCACCCCTCGCAATATCCGACCTAACCTGATAGTTACTCTCAGCATCCTCTAGAATCTGCATATCCAAATCAACAACACACATGTCCTCTCCTGCTCCTCCCAACTTTCCTAAAGCTCCAACAAACGGCACGGTGACTTGACTCAACCCCGCATATCCCTTTCCAGGCGGACCCCCCGCATTCGCAAAAACGACCGCACAAGTATTCTCAAACGCGCGTGCCGTCAACATGGAGTCGAGGAAAAGTGCCTCAGCAGCAGGATTACGCGCGAGACCCGCGGCGTTGCAGTCGTTGAGGGTCCAGAATGTCGGGATGATGATGATCTGAGCGCCTTGGGCGATGAGTTCGCGGAAGGCTTCGGGAAAGGCGAGATCCCAGCAGATCAGCAGACCGACTTTTCCGACAGGTGTGTCGAAGACTTCATGGGGAGAGTGGCCTGAGCCTGTGAGATGGTCGCGTTCGGGGCCCCAGAGGTTTTTCTTGATGTATTTTCCTGCTATCTCGCCAGAGGGTGAGATAAAATAACACACATTTAGGAGCCTGTCTTCTTCGGCAGAGTTCTCTTTATGGGACTCTACTATCGTTCCGGGGACGATGGCTGGATAAGACGACTTAGTTTGGTCGATGGAGAGATGAGGGGTTGGTGGAATTTACAGATGTTACACTCTTTGGCTAACTTGCAGTACTTCTCTAGGTAACCTTCACATTGTTCAACGACGGCTAGGAACTCTGGATCATTCGGTTTCCAATTCGTGAGATGGTACTCTGGCAAGACGGCGAGTTGAGCACCTTGCGATGCTGCCGAGCGTACAAACTCGACAGCCTTGCTGAAATTAATTTCTGGTTGCAAGGGCTAATCAATATTAGTAAATGGCTGGAGTTGTTGAGTGATGGTAGCGAGTGTAGGAAGCGATGATGAGATGTGTAATGCAGTGTGGGGTAAGCATGAGATACCTTCGGGTGAAGTTGGATAACAGCCACTTTGATCGTTGGCGCCATGCCTTATACGATGAAATATGTTAATACTGCTCCGTAAGGTTAGCACAATTGCTGCAGTGAGGTTGGCATCGTTGGAGTGCGCCTCATCAGACGTATGACATAGTTACATCTGACGCATGCACATCAATGCAAGGCTAGTGCTCGCTAAACAGGACAAGCTTTCTGCCCATGTAGTCAAGGATGCTCAACATCTTGATAAGCAGCGTTGATCACAGCACTCCTCCGGCTTGACATCGTCATACCTTGTAAGCAAGGATCATGGTTTGAAGTAATCGAGGGGTATCTATATAGGAAAGAAACATACTCCTCCCAACACCTGTCGAGAAATGTACTGTCGACCAGCTATACGACATGACCTGTTTCTCGACAACATATCCGTACTACCACTCCCATCGGCATTACCTCCGCTCTTGACAACTGGATCAGAATTCCTTCGGAATTCGATCGACGCCCTCTCATGTAAGAGATATAATCTAGTCTGTTCGAAAAATGCCGCAACGCGAAGAAACTTAGTATGAGTGGAAGGCCCGATCAAGACACTGTAGCTTCTCACCGAACCCATGGGGTACGCCGGGCTACGATAGGCAGCGAGCCTCCATAAAAGCCGCTTATGCTACGACAGCGTCAGCCCAATGGTAACCATCAACCTGTACACCATGGGTCCTGTACGACTCCTCTTCAGACTCAGATCCATCGTTAGAACCAGTGTCCAGAATAGCATACTGGTTGACCACAGGCGCAGATTTGGTAGGCATACGCGCGACGGGAACCTGGGTCTTCTTGGGTTGAGGTAACGGTCCAGCGCATTCATCTGGATAGTACTCGATGCGCGTGCCTTTGTATATGCTACGCGACATCATGCATGTCCTGGCGAACAGAGCATTGTGAATCGAGTTGGTCGAGACGTATGCATCGCCGTTTCTGAAGTATACGTCAACCACGATGAGGTTGTGGATGTGATCAAGTTGTTCACGGATCTGATCTGTGGTGACTTTGCCTGCAACCCCTCTTACCACCAGGTTCCGCGTGGCGCCGCCAGCGATTTTGTTGGACACATGCGGTGGCACGTGGAACTGTCGGTCGCTCCAACGGAACTCAAGCTGACATGATTAGTTTTCGTCATCTTATTCTGATGGCGCATGACTTACCCTCTTCATATGCAGGTAGATATCGTTGCGCTTTGCATAAGCCAGAAAATCCGCGGCCCCTTCAACGAACGAGATGGTAGCAGATCGGTCGTTGCGGAGGAAGATGTCGAGGAGTCTTCCACCACGGACAATTCCGGCCAAGTCTTTATGTGTGGTACGCTCAGAGAGGTTGGTGATCAGTACAGTTCGCTGATCATGGAGTGGTACACGGCGACCTGAAATTGGCTCCTGGTCTTCGTCGTCGTCTTGTGGGTCCCCTGTGAAGGACTCAGATACGCCATAGCTGACGATTCGATGGAGCGATTGTGAAGGTCTAGGCTGGAGACCGTGGCTGACAGCTGTGTGATCCGACTCTGGTCGGTAGTGAAATGAAGTAGGTGCAGCTACAGGAGTGGCTCTTGATTCGGCAGGTGTGTGCTCCGACACGTAGTCATAGCTTAATGGTGCGTCACTCGAAACGCCGTTCTCGCCTTGTAACAATGTCTCCAAGGTCTCGGTCGTCAGGCCTCCACGAAACAGGGCGCTCTTGAGGAGATCTATCCATGGTTAGAGACAAGTAGTGTTGAGTCAGGGCAGTGGTGTACATACGGTATTCGCGCATGGCTTGAATCTGTGAGCAAGTCCATCATTAGCATCCAGACGACAAGAGCAAGGATAAGAATGAGCGAGAAAGACTAGGAAGACAAAATGGAAACTCTGGGCGGTTTTGACATGGAGACCACGCACCATGTACTCATGTTCTGCTTTGCTGATGGTGACATTATTCGACAGATCAGTGCCGTAGCTGACAGGCTGAGTGGAGGTATGCTGTCAAACAGAGTCAGTTCTGTGAAGAACGGGTGGACAGCTACGGCCTGGGCAATACTGACGAATTCAGCCCTACAAATTCCATCAGCAAACAGTCTGGCGCATTACCATAGCTCAAGTAGCATGAGCACTCACTTTCGTAGAAGGGCGTCGAAATAGGATCTGCCTATGGTTACTGTAGCCATGGCGCAAGGGCGAAGAAGAGCAAAACGCTCCGAGCCGAAGATGCCTTCGTGGAGTGGTTCAGGATTAGGATTTTGTGAATTGGGCAGGCTGTGATAGTTATCAGTGACGGGGGGCGCCAGGTCCAAGCTCGCCTAGGCGCTCCACCTCTCCGCAGTGCTGGGAAAGCGCCATGGATAGCCTTCCGCGACGCGACCCCGGATTGCTCGTGCAGCTGCGTCAGGCGTCTTGACCATGACGGCAGCAATGTCTTTTTTTTCTTTTTTGCGGCGTTTACATCATGAACACAACGGTGTGACAAGATGCCTCCTTATCAAAACTCCACGTTGCAGGCGAGCGCTGTACCACTCATGGCTGTTTGCCGTACGACATGATAGGACGCGGCGCGGCAGCGTCGTTCCCGCGCTAGCGTCCATGGCGTATCAAATTTCTGGACAGGCGCGCCTCTCAGCAGCTCATGGAACCCAACACGCCTCAACACCAGCTGGCCAAGCAGATCACTGCCGGCGGTGGCAGCCCTGGTCTCAGCTCTCCTTTTTCGCAAATCACCGACAACCCTTTCTTCACCGCCGTATGATTCACCTTGGGGCCGATGCATGCTTTCTGGAACATGTGCTCACTGATGCCATAGGGCTTCGGTCTCGCAGCGCTTGGGGTTGCGGCACGGACTGGCCAAAAAGGTCTCCAACATGGCGCTGCCTTCGTACGCCGCCGCATGCTGGTCGATCTAGAAATAACTCGCCATGACGACGCCTATCCGTGGGTCCTCCAATGGATGACCAACTACCACAGGGCACAGCAAGCTGGTGCTAGACCACTGGTTCAAAATGGTGTCCTCTCCAGAGTGCTCAATCGCATTGATCCGCGCATGCACCACCTCCAAGTCCAGACGTACACGCCGCAAGACGGGCCCTCACACGCTGCCCACTTCTCCTTCGTGCCAGGCCCGGGCAAGCACTTTCTGCGCTACAAGAACGCTTTCATCCTCGTGGACAGGCAGCGAGAGCGCAATAGTCTGAACGTCAAAGATGGCGTACCCTTCGAGACGATCAACCTCACGACTCTCTACTCGCATCGCGACATCTTCGAAGACATCTTCGCCGAGGCGCACCAAATATACCAACAGTCACAGGAAGGCAAGACTGTCATATACAACTCCATGGGTACCATGTGGCAGCCCTTTGGAGATGCCAAGCGAAAGCGGCCCCTAGACTCCGTCGTCCTTGAGCGCGGTGTCAAGGAGCGCATCGTAGAGGACATGGAGGCTTTCATCTCATCACGCAAGTGGTACTTGGACCGTGGCATACCGTACAGGCGAGGCTATCTGCTCTACGGGCCCCCGGGTACCGGAAAGAGCTCCTTCATTCAAGCTGTTGCAGGCCATCTTGACTTCAATATTGCCATTCTGAACGTCAGCGAGCGCGGCCTGACAGACGACAGATTGAACCACCTGCTGACTAAGGTCCCGCGACGGACGGTAGTGCTGCTGGAAGATGTTGATGTCGCATTCATGAACCGCAAGACGCCTGGCGCAGACGGATTTGCTAGCCACTCCGTCACCTTCTCTGGACTGCTCAACGCTCTTGACGGTGTAGCTAGTGCTGAAGAGCGCATCATCTTCCTGACGACGAATCATGTCGAGAGACTGGACGAAGCGCTCGTTCGACCCGGCCGCGTGGATATGACGGTGAGGCTCGGTGAAGCAACTGAGTATCAGATCGAGCAGCTCTGGGACCGATTCTATGCAGAATTCGATGCAGGCGGGGAAGCGAAGCAGAGATTTATGGCTAGAGTCAGAGAGTTGGGCCTTATCGACTCGGTGAGCACTGCAGCGCTACAGGGGTTGTTTCTTTACAACAAGGACGACACTGAGGGCGCTATTGCAATGGTTGAGGGCCTCACCGCTGGTCGCAAAGCCGAGAACCACGTGGGTATCCCGGGTCACGTTGATGTGAGCCAGGTGACGTCACATTGAGCATTCGCACTTCTGTAGAAACAATGTAAAATTCCGACTGCAAACGCTGCGGCTCTGTCCGCGCGGACATGCAGCTGTCAAGAGAGTGTTGATCCGTGAGTGTACCAGGATAATGAGGCATGCAGGCGTGTGATGATATGCAGGCGGCTCGCGCGCGCGGGAGCGTGGGAGCCTTTTCGCTGGGAACTCCACATCGTCGCCCGGATCTAACCGCTTACCGTGAAGACACTGCGTCGACACTGCACTCTTTATTGGATGACTCCAGTAATAATACATCATTGACCTAATTCTGGACCGTTTTCCGCGCTTCCATCTAATCAGATCATCGGGAACATTACGGCCCAACACATGGCAGCGTGCGATTTTATCTGATCATTTGATTCCGAACGTCGCGCGAGGCCGCTTTGGCGCGACAAACGGGAACACTTGTACACGCGCCCCTGGCCGCACACCCACCCATACATATGGCTAACGAGGACGGGTGCGGGTCATCTTCGTCGCTTGCTCCCTCGTCCGTCCATTCTTCTTCTGGAACCACGCGACACGACCCTCTTTCCGTCTCTCAAGGCAGCTACGAGTTGCAGGTTTTGCCTGGGAAAGCAAAGAAAGCAAGGAACATAGCCACATCCGAAACGACTTCTGATGACGATCTTGATCTGCCAGCTGGTCGCCCCGATAGTCCTACACGATCCGTCAAGAAGGCAATGTCAAGAGTACCTCTTCTGGTGAGATCGAGCCCGGCGCAGGGAACAGGTAAGCAAGCTATTGACTGCTGTCAAGCGCCATGGTCGTTAATCGCCCCCTCGGCTCTGGACGCGTGCATAAGTCCCACGATGCACAAGATGCACGGAATCTCATTCGCTACACGTGCTAACTTCGACCCCAGGGTCATATGGCGGCCTGCCTATTTTTTCTTCCAGTCCAGAGGAGTCTGATGAGAACAACGTAGTCAATGAGTCAAGAAAGAAAAAAGGAAAGAGCAGACTTTCGCATAGTGAACCCACGTTACTCTCGGATCACAACCACGATGATTCGATACGGAGTGAACCAATCCTTTCAAGCACTAGCAAGTCACGTCGTAGGACGGGTGACGCTGATCGTAGCAGCACGACGCTTGGTGTAGCCTCCAGCGGCCAGGAAGAATGTCGTTTCGAAGCGAGGTTCAACGCCAGCGGCCTCGATCCTTCTACAGCTGGTGCGCCACTGTTTGACAACTCAACCTCTTCGAGCGGTACGCTAGACGACAATGAATCTTCCGACGACGACCTACACGATATGAAGGGTAATCCGTCCGATAACTCGCCCTACGCTCAAGTCAGGGCATCCGTTGCTGCTACTGACAACCTGTCTCTGTCTATTGATACCCCGCGCATGTGGTTCCTGTCGATTCTGTTTTCCATTGCTGGTTCTTCAACCAACTTGTTCTTCTCCCTACGATACCCTAGCGTTAGCCTTACTCCTATTATTGCACTACTACTTGTTCATCCTCTCGGTCTGCTATGGGACCAACTTCTAAAACGACACGACGACCCTGAAGAAACCTTCATCGATGGTTGCGCTCAAACAACCTCACACCACCCCCAATCATCACAGAACAAAGTCACCTGGGCACGTCGACTACGGCTCTGGCTTGCTCAAGGCCGCTGGAACGAAAAGGAACACTGTTGCGTATACGTCAGCAGCAATGTATCCTTTGGCTTTGCCTTTGCAACTGATGTAAGTGTATTGGTGAAGAGGAGAGGTATATGCTAACGTTCGCAAGGTCATCGTCGAGCAGGTCAAGTTCTACAAGCAAGACCTCGGCATCATGTATCAGGTACTGCTCATCCTCTCCACCCAAATACTGGGCTACTCCCTTGCCGGCATTACTAGACGTTATTTGGTCCGGCCCAGCGGTATGATATGGCCAAGCACGCTGGTATCCACCGCTATGTTTACCGCGTTGCACAAAGATGAGAACAAGCCTGCCGATGGCTGGACCATGGCTCCACGAAAATTCTTCAAGCGCATATTTCTGGGGTCCGTCGCATTTTACTTCCTACCTGGTCTCCTGTTCCCAGCATTGAGTTATTTCAATGTGATCACCTGGTTCGCGCCAAAGAGCGTTGTCGTCGCTAATTTATTTGGAATCTCGTCTGGCCTTGGATTATTCCCAGTGACTTTCGATTGGGCGCAAATTGCGTACATTGGTTCTCCCTTGATCACCCCATTCTGGGCTGCCATGAACATCCTTGGAGGACTTGTAATGGTTATGTGGATCGCAGCCCCAATCATGTGTAAGTATTCCCAAAAGATTATGATCACCTGCGCTAACAGATACAGACTACAAGAACGTCCTTTACTCTTCGTACATGCCCATCCTCTCATCCGCCGTATGGGACAATCGTGGAAAGCCGTACGACGTCAGCAAGATCTTGACCGAGAACTTCCTCTTCGACGAAGAAGCCTACAAACAATACAGTCGTGTCTATCTTCCGATTACCTACGTATTGAGCTACGCCCTGCAATTTGCCGGTCTTACCGCTCTGCTTTCGCACACTGGGCTATGGTACGGAAAGGATATCTGGAGGCAATGGCGTCGCTCCTGGGCTGAGATTCGTAAGGAGTCGGCTCAGGACTACCAGCCATTAGTGAACGGATCCGATGCTAACAATCGTCCGGGCTCACCTGCAATGCTCCGACATAGGCCGAGTACGACGTCAGAACCGGACGTGGAAGACCTACTGTCCGCGGAAGACGTGCACAACCGTCTCATGCGCAAATATGAGGATGTGCCACTTACCTGGTATCTTCTAACAGGCATTAGCATGGCCGCTGTCGGCATGTTCGTCGTCGAGTACTACCCTGTCCACTTACCCTGGTACGGTCTCTTGCTAGCTCTCGGCATTGGCGCGGTTCTCTTCGTCCCCATTGGCATCGTTATGGCCATCACGAACCAACAAAGTAGCATCTACCTTATCTGCCAACTGATCTGTGGCGTTGTCTTCCCCGGTCGGCCCGTCGCAAACATGGTCTTCACGACCTTTGGCTATATCTCATCCACACAGGGTCTGAAGTTTGCTTCAGATTTGAAGCTTGGTCACTACATGAAGATTCCTCCCAAAATCCTCTTCAAGCTTCAGCTTTCTGTCACCATTGTTTCCAGTCTGACGCAGATTGGTGTGCTCAACTGGATGCTAAATTACATCCCAGGTATCTGCACACCACAGGCTATCAACGGCTTCAACTGTCCAATCGCCCGCGTACACTTCAACGGAAGTATACTTTGGGGTGTTGTTGGACCAGGAAAGTTCTTCGGCCCAGGCGCACTCTACCAACACCTGATCTGGGCCTTCCCTGTTGGCGCTATTGCACCCGTCATAATCTGGTGGCTCGCCCGCGGAGACCGCAAATCTATTCTTAGTAAAGTCAACCTTGCCGTTGTGTTCGGTAGTCTGAGTTGGATTCCGCCAGCCACTGGGCTTAACTTCTCCGTTTGGGCAATCGTCTGCTACATCTTCAACTACGAGATTCGGAACCGGAAGAACGCGTGGTGGAAGAAGTACAACATGATGCTTAGCGCGGCCTTGGACTCTGGTCTTGCGTTTGGTGTCGTCGTCATCTTCTTTGGCATTGTGTACCCCGGTTGGATGAGTAACTTTAAATGGTGGGGTACGGAGGTCTACAAGCAGGTACGTTGCTCACAATCACATGGTCTTTCTTGATACAGTTTGCTAACATGTTTATAGGGTTGTGACTGGCAAGCCTGTCCCTACAAGGAAGTGCCAAAAGGAGGAACTTTCGGGCCCGGAAGGTGGTGATTCTATGATACACGCATTGACGTTACTAGCATTGGCATATGCATTGGATGACCGGCGTTTGGAGCAGTTTAGAGATAGACATGTTGTTGGATACACCACATCAATCGCTCGAGTGTTTTGAATAACGCACGCGATCTGCTATCATCATAAGGCGTCGTTGGATAACATGAATTCATTTTTTACTTCCTCGAATGACTTGGATGTGAACCAATTAAAAGATACACCTGCTTTCTACTAATTCGTTCGTCGTCTAGTCTACCTTTCTCTGTATTTCGCTGCAACATCAAAAGGATATCATCATACAATTCTATATATTTGGCCTCCCTGACTGCACCACTAACTCGAAGCATCCAAAAAGATGGTAAGCTCACCGTGGAATAGTGTTGAATGAATCATCGTCCGATGAAAGGGTAGCGTAGAGAGGGTCTATCTTAGAAGCACCAAGAAGTATGACGGCTGAATGGGTGGTATTTTAGTTATCTTTAGAGTTCTGTGTCAAGGTATGAGACATCATCACCCACTGAGGTATCTTCCTTCATGACAATACTGCGGTAACCTGCTCCCTCCTCACAAGGCTCCATGTGCTAGAAACATTGCGTGACATGCGCCCCAAATACATCCCAGATTATATCCTCCTAACGAATTTCTGCTGATCTTTCTCTCCTTAATACGACTACCGCATCTTGCTCTGCACACGATCAAGTCATCTTGATATCAGCCTTCAGCTCCCAATACCTGCCGCTGATCACTGTTGATGCCAGGATCGAGGCTCGCTTCGCCATGTTCACCTCCTCATTCTCGATCGTCATCTTTGCAACACCACCGTGGCACTCGAACTTGCCAGCCCAAACATCTGGCCACTTGGGGGCGGAGTAGGCGTTCCTAGCTGTGACCTTGAGGTGCCAAGATCCATCGTAGCCGATCAGGAAGCCGGCGACATGCTCGAAGCGGTATAATTTCATTGACTTGTGGTGTTCGAAGGTGCCAATCTACAAGAAAATCAGTGAATATAGCTCTAGTAGAAGATGTGACGACTCACAAAGACCTCGAGGCCCTTGCGCCAGATGACCAACTGTACATCCTTCGTACCAAACACAGCCTTGAAGGCGTTGACTGTGGGGTTGACGAAGGATCTGAGTGTGATCAGTGTCACGTTGAAGAGAGTAGTGACGATCGCATCTTGAAGTTTGAGTATTCCTTCATCCTTCATAGATGTAGTGTAATCCTCAATGTCGATGATATGAGCATGGCTGGTCGGCCCGCTCGAAGGCAGCCTCTCAAAGTCATCGGTGTAGGAAAGAGTGCTCTTGTCACTATCCCCGGAATCGCTCTTTCCAGGTGATTCAGGGCACTGTTTGGTGTCGATGGCTGTTGGAACCTTGTCAAAGTCGATGTCCATGGGGCTGGTGTCAGTGTTCGTCGTCATCTTTGCAGTGCGTTGGACTCCTAATTCGAGGCGATTGTCAGATGTAGAGGATGGTCATTCCTGTCGTTTGAGTCTTGTAGTTACTGGCATGGTACGTGAGATGTAGGTACAGTAGTCGTGCGCGCTAGGCGCTGAGGAGCGATGAGTTCTGCAAATATGAAGTGGTGAGCATGAAGTTTGACGAGGAGTGATGATCATAAAGAGTGAAAAAGTAGCTCTACGGGGAGTGTGCGTGTGTTTGATATGACGTGAGCTAGCAATGCTAGCGGTGCAGACGGTGAGAGCTCAAGGAAGGTGCGACGATCCTAGAAAGCAATGATGCTGTACGGGTTGTTTGCAAAGCCATGGTTCCGCGAGCTCAGAATCTCACAGCTCAGGCCTCACTTCACCGCTCCTCGCCTGCCCTTCATTGCAATGTCGTTCCCATCTCCATCACCTCACAATGAGCTTACAGGCTTATTTTGGACCGCGACAAGGCGGCTAGTCTTACTCGCGCTTCGATACTACACTCTTGACAGGCCCTACCTCACCATGCAACGACCTGGCTCCCTAGAGGATTATTTCCATTGTCAGCATCAGAGCTCGAAAAGCCGAGCCAACGCAAGATCCAATGACTGTCAGCCAAACTCGCGGCACAGCCAGCAAAGCAAAGAAGCATTCACCTATCTTGCAAGCAATCCATGCTCTCCCATTGTCATCATACACTAACCAGTTCAGATTTGGTGGTAAACTCCTTTGCCTATACGTAGGCCCAAAGCGTCGCCTGTTTTCGGCGCATCAAGACATGCTTTGCAAGCAATCCACCTTCTTCAAGAACCAGTACCAGACTGTGCGCAAAGACACTGAAGGCGAGTGTGTCATCTGTCACGAAGGTCTTGATGTCTTGGTTCAAAGCCTGGCGTACTGCAAGACATGTGGAAACAATCTGCATCGAGGTTGTATGAAACAATGGTTCGAGAACAACAAAACTTGTCCCACATGTCATTCAAGGTGGATCCCGTCGAACTTCCTTGATACCGCCAGTCTTAATGATATCGATGCCGATGGTTTCGACGTATACGTCCAGTGGCTCTACGGATGTACTATCCCAGTCTATAGGGCGGACAAGGGAGATGACGCACTTCGCTGCTTCAGATTGGTTCTTGCGCACAATGTGGGCGAAACCCTCGGAGACATCAAATTCTTGCAGGTCGTGCGTCAAGACATCGTCGAATGCAGCTTGAAAATGACGGACAAAGCTCGTCATCAGCTAATGCTTGTGGCGTACCAAAAGACAACTCGTCCCTGCGCCCTTAGACGATTGGTTGTTGACTTATTTGCTCTTCAGAGCAAATCGGATGCGTTGAAGCCGGTAGAGACTCTAGGCATTGTATTGAGAGACCTTATGAAGTGCTTAATGGACAGAGTGGAGGCTCAGAGCGAACAGGACGTGTGGAGTCTCATGAGTGCTACAGGGCACATCGAGCGGATCGAGGAGATGTGTTAGCAATAATTTTGAGACTTCAACCTAAAGATTGGGCAATAGAAGAAGATTAGGACACTTGGGATGATGCATGGATTGCACCAAAGCGCCGACGCTACATTGTACAGTCGCCCTCAAATGATCTGTGATTAGCCAAAAACTTTCAAAACCACTCAAGTAAGACAGAACTCCAGAGTACGGATCAATAGAGAAATCCAGCCCAGTTGCGTGTTAGGATGGAACAGCGCAGAATAAGTAACACTTCACATGCCTGCAATCACTGTGGAGTTTCAGAGAGTCATTAAGCTTCGGGCCTCTTTTGCGAGACATCTGCACCACTGAGCCGTCCATACCTTTTGACTCGCAAGAAACCATCGAAAGGAGTATAGCAGTTCCTCAAAATCGCGATTAGCCATGGAAAAGGGCATGGCTGTCACCAGCCCTCATAAGGAGATTGTCCACTGTAATTCGCGATTGAACATAGAAAGAAGTATAGCCGTCAGCAGCGCGCATAAAGAAGCGGACATGCCACGAATTTCAAGGATTGAGAGGTGGCATGAAGTCCGCGCCAAGGCTGTCGCATCTTACCCTGAAAACTCGCATCCCTCACCAGAAACAGGCTAGCACCTAGGTAGGCATCAGACAGCCGAAGAACGGCCACGTTCCTGCATGCGCCTAACCATACACGGCATTGTAAACTTCATCAACCTCAGTCTACCACTCCGCTCCACCAATGGCATTAGAGCTGTAGAAACTACACGACACCCGAGGAATCCGGATCGGAGGGTTTGGCGTGACCATCTCGCCGTTACGCACGTTGCTTTTGACCGACGATGGGGCTGAAAGAACCACGTTCTGCCCTGCATTTGGGCCAACAGTTGGTGTATTCGGAATGTTCCGGTCGAAGATGATGGAGGTACATATACCAAGCTATCGTGCTTGGAAGAGTAGGCTGCCTTGCATTTCGCTTTTTTTTCCTTCGTGTGGGATTGACTAACTCACGTCGTCCGTCATGGCCGCTTCTGACCCTTCAACGGGAAAACCTCCCACCCCAAAAGAACTACATATATCTGCTCAACCAGTCACTTTCGCAAATTGGTACAAGAAGATTAACTGGCTTAACACAACTCTCGTCGTTCTAGTCCCGACATATGGCCTCTACTTGGCACGTTCGACACCTCTCACTCGACCAACTTTGCTATGGAGCATCCTGTACTACTTCATGACCGCTTTTGGTATCACAGGTGGATATCATCGATTATGGAGCCACCGCTGCTACTCTGCGCGCCTTCCAGTACGTCTGTTCTTGGCATTTACAGGAGCAGGAGCAATCCAAGGTAGCATAAGATGGTGGAGCGCCAACCATCGCGCGCATCACCGATGGACAGATACGATGAAAGATCCATACTCGGTTATGCGAGGCCTGTTGTTTTCTCACATCGGTTGGATGGTTCTTAACAACGACCCGAAAATCAAAGGTCGTACGGACATCTCCGATTTGGACAGCGACCCGATCGTTGTGTTTCAGCACCGGCACTATGGAAAAATGCTTCTCTTTGCTGCCTGGATCTTTCCTGCGATGGTAGCAGGTTTGGGCTGGGGAGACTGGTGGGGTGGCTTTGTGTATGCGGGCATTATCAGGGCATGCTTCGTACAGCAGGCTACCTTTTGTGTGAACAGTCTCGCTCACTGGATCGGCGAGCAGCCATTCGACGATCGTAGATCTCCAAGGGATCACGTCTTGACCGCTTTGGTGACTATGGGCGAAGGATACCATAACTTCCACCATGAGTTTCCGTCTGACTACCGTAAGTCCATTTCTTTTCGATGTCATAAGGGTGATGATACTAACAACAGATCAAGGCAACGCGATAATCTGGTATCAATACGACCCGACGAAATGGCTCATCTGGATCATGTCCATAATTCCTCTCTATCCACTGACATACGACCTGAAGACCTTTCGCTCTAATGAGATTGAGAAAGGCAGACTTCAACAGCAACAGAAAGCACTCGACCAAAAGCGATCGAAGCTTGATTGGGGTCTCCCATTAGCTCAACTGCCGGTCATCAGCTGGGACGATTTTCAAGCCCAGGCTTCCGCCAACGGCGCCGCTTTGGTGGCTATCGCTGGAGTAATCCATGATGTTTCACCATTCATTGCTGATCATCCTGGTGGCAAGACACTGATCAAGAGTGTGGTTGGCAAGGATGGTACTGCGGTATTCAATGGCGGTGTGTATGAACATTCGAACGCAGCACATAATTTGTTGTCGACTATGCGTGTTGGTATCTTGCGAGGCGGTCAGGAAGTCGAAGTCTGGAAAACAGGTGCTGAGAGAGCTAGTAAAGACACCAAAGGCAATGGTATCGCCAGGGCAGGCGATCAAATCACGAGGGTGGCTGCACCAGTAGCAGCGGCTGTAGCAGCTTGAAATTTGTACGAAGGAGCTCGTTCCTACTGAGGGATACTCCATACTCAAGTCTTCCCTCAAGGTATGCGCTGCATTCTACACCAACACTAGGAAGCACAAAATACATGATATACCTCTCGGGTGCAGTACAGCTGGGTATACTACTCCTTAAAGACGAGCTCCTTTGTGATTGTGGGGTATCGAGATCATCGTTCAAGTCATCATTCGTCTGATATCTTACGTGATCGTCTCCTACTTCTTTGAAGCGACCTCCTCCCATTGGACACCAACCCATTCCTCCACATAGCCGACTTCGCCTTCTTGGACGTCGCTGGGCTTGCAGTCTTTGCTACATACTGCCATAATGATAGTGCCCCATTCCATGCCGTCGATGCTCATCTCGTCTGCCTCCAACTCGGTAATTGCATGTGGTGTTAACTGAACCTCGAAGACCCTATCCGCACCACACGTCGAACATCGAGGAAAGCCAGCTCCACCTCGTGAGGCCGCTGTCTTGACCTTTGCGTTCGACGCTGTACCATTCTCCGAATGTGGTCCCAGAAGCTTGCCAATAGCATCGTTGTCGCTGTACAGAAGCGGCTTGCCTTTGTACTCATAACGCAGCACTTGCTCGGAGTTCTCCCCAATACGATCTGCAAACTTCTGGAACGTCCTGTCCATGGACGACTCAAATACTTCCTTGTCTTCTTTCCCACCACCTTTCCCGCTTTCTTCAGTTTCCATATCCATAACCCGCACGTTTGCTGGTATTGATGGTTCTGAAGGAGCGTCTAGGGTCTCATATTCGGCGTCCAGGTGGTAATGTGGGAACGGCGTAGGGAAGGCCGAGTCTGCTGGCCATGGCTCATGTGGACGTGGGGGTTGCTGTTCAGACGGAGGTGGTGAAGACAGCCGAACTTTGGACGCGAATGTTTCCGGTAGAGTCGTGGAGGCTTCATCCTTCTTCTCCTCAGGCTCGCTAACTTGAACCGCGGGTGTAGGGCTGGATGTCCCGAAGGGATTTGCACTTCCTCCCGAAGAGAAAGGGTTCGCCGATGCCGCACCATTGGGCTTGGATGAGAAGGGGTTCGAGAATGGGTTCGCGGGCGTCGATGCACTTGTCCCATTCTTGACCCCAAACAGCGACTCGCCTATCTTGGGCTGAGGCTTTTCTTCTTTGACCTCCTTCTTCTCGACTTTGGCAGTAGTAGCCTTACTGCTCGCGCCTTTTGCGACGCGCACTCCACGAATGCCCCTCACGCTACCCTCCTTTCTTCTGCATGGTTTGCGCCGACATGTCCAGATGTAGAGTCGCCGTTCGTGACCAGGGAATTGGTCAGGAAGGTCGCCGTTGAGTTCAAGGAGGAGGCTAAGATAGCCATTACAGACTTTGCACTTTGCTAAGGCGCCAGAAGGGGCTGTCGCCTCATCTATCCAGCCCTACTATGATCATTAGACAGACTTCTGGCTAGGTCGGCATTGTGCGTACCGGTGCGCCTCCGATGTGGGAAACTGCGTCGCCCGTTGCGTCCTTTGTCGCATAACCCAGCAGCACATTTGTCTCGGTGTAGTCATCGCCGCCGTCTGAGGAATCGCTGTCGTAGGGCGCCATGGTGGTGTAAATTGGTAGATCTTGTTGCAATCAATTGTTTTGGCGGGGTCTAACTTTTTTGAAGATGACGCGGGGCTGCCCGGTGGCCAATGCGTCGTCTCGTCGCACTGAGCGAATTTGACCAAGCCTTCGACACCAACTCTTCGTCGCTCATCCACACAACCACCATGGGCGCCCCTTTCGACTTCGCGCCTGAGCGGCCGGATCACATGCAGCAGATCCTCGATGGACTGGATCGCTACAACCCAGAGACGACGGGTGTCTTCCAGGACTATGTCATGCAGCAGTGCGAGAACCAGACGTACGACTGCTACGCCAACCTCGCCCTGTTGAAGCTGTACGTTCCCCCTCTACTCAATCTTTCCTATGCTACAAGATGAATAAACAACCACAACGTTTCCTATTACCCGAGGGATGGGGACTGAATCCCCCCACCCGCTGAAGTTTATTATTAGCTCTATCTGACAGCTTTCTGCCTCTGCTATTGTACCTCCAGTACCATCGTTGCATCTCACTAACCACGATGCTGCAGCTACCAGTTCAACCCCCACCTCGCCCGTGACGAGACCATTACCAACATCCTCGTCAAGGCCCTCACCGTCTTCCCCAGCCCCGACTTCTCCCTGGGTCTGTCTCTCCTCCCCCCACACGTCCTAGCTCCTCTTTCCTCTTCATTACACAACCCAGCTGCTGGCGATGCCCCACTATCAGAAGCTGTCCAGAAGCTCAACGAGCTCAGGAATCTGCTCGAAGGTGCAGACTACGCCACATTCTGGTCCACACTTGACTCTGACGACCTGTACGCCGACTTGATTGCCGACGTATCAGGTTTTGAGGAGTTGATGCGCGTACGAATTGCTGCGACTGTCAGCCAAGCGGTACGCGAGGTTGACCGAAGCATCCTAGAGTCGTGGTTGAACCTCTCCGGAAGCGAGTTTGACAACTTCGTCGGAAGCGTGTGTGGATGGAACATCGATGGTGCCAAGATCAAGGTACCAATCAACAAGGACAACGAGGCTAAGGGCACCGTTGTCCGCGAGAATGTCAAGTTTGATCGTAAGTTTATTTACATACTGAGCACCAATTAGCTGCTAACAAACCTGGCAGAATTCGCAAGGGTCATTAAGAGGGCATACGAACAGCCTGCATGAGCGACACGATTTACAGTATGACGACATGAGGCTACGGTTTGCACGGTCGGCGTTTGAGGCGGACTTTAAAAATGCATCAGTATGCGACAGAAGCGTACCCGGCGGCCCTCGACAGCCATATAGGTTGACTTCGTTGGCTCTCTATATACCCCAAAAGTACGCCGCTATGAGCAAAGGCTTGGGAGGATAAACCCCCACAGGCCTAACAAAGATCCAATAACATCATTCCGACCAAACATCACCACTTCTCCTTTTTTCTTTTCTTAGTTCTAGATCTCCTTTCTGTCTCGGTTCACATAACCCAGTCCCTGCTGGAATACAGTGAAACACATCCCTATAGGCTCGAAGAAACCTGATCAAAACTCCCCAACCTCGCCAATCATTCCCACTTGTTTCGATGGCTTGCCAGCAAAATCTCCGATATCTGGAGCAAGCTTTGGGCTGTAACATAGCGCGACTGTTGTGTTTACCCGTACAGTGATAGGGAGTGGTGCCAAGCGGCTGCGCAACGGCCCCGTGAATTTCGCTTAAACTTACGCCACCTTCGCCTCAACCAGCCGTCCAACCCTATCAATTACAAGACTAGTAATATCTCCTTTGTGTTTACTCCTGCGCTGTACCGTACATAAAACCGTTGCGCGATGGCTTAGCTTCATTCGATCAGGCTTTGGCCCTGCCAGCTGGAGCTTGTTCGACATGATCGCAAACTGGAGTGTGCTTTTTGTGTTGATGAATGTAACGAGAGCCAGCAATACTATATGTCTGCAGCAGGTGCAATGGCTCGAATGGATCTCACTTTTTTTCTCTCACCTCACCTTTCACCTGTGTGAATTCGGCCTTCAAGCAAACGGAATCAGTAATCGTCCTGATTGTCGACTCACTTGCAGAACACCTGCCCATCCTTACTAGCGCCAACGTTCTACGCGAATCCTCGAAAGATTATCAAGCCAAACTCAAGTAAAGGCACTTGGAAAGCGTCGATAGGCTTCCCTTGGTCACGTCACACAAGCCATCTGAGCGTTGTCTCACTCGTGATCGCCTTTCCTTGACTATCGGTAACGCTCACGAACTCGAAAACACTACCACCACCGAGTCCACTCAGCAACCGAGATACAAGGTCTCCAAACGTTTGTCAGACGTACAGAACTTCTTCACAACCGACACCCACCATCATGTTTCTTCAAAGGCTCGTAGTCTTTCTCGTATGCGCCACCCTCGCCTTCTCATCCACTCAAGCCACACCACTTCCGTCACCGCAGCAGACCCTCTCTACAAGAGCCTGTACAAACGTCCCCACCAATCCATCCTTCGAGATTCCTTTGTTGACCCCATGGATGGACATGGTGACAGGCTCATGGTCCTCCCGCGGCATCTCCACCTCCCCTTCTCATGTTGGCGCACACTCAGGTTCCAACGTATATGCTGCGACATCGAATAGCTCGGAAGTGACTGCGACACTTACGTTATCGCAGTCTTACATTGATCTTCCAACCGGTGTGACGGTGGATTGCTACGCATGGGTCAGGGGAAGCAGGCCGAGTGGACAGACGCGCGTTGAGATCTTCCTAGATGGGGTCAGCTGTGGACAAGAGGTTCGGCTGGGAGTTGGAAACAAAGGTTGGAAGAGGGTCGGCGGCAAGGTCACGGTACAAGATGTGGTTCCAGGTGTTGGCCATTCGGTTGCGGTCAGTGTGCAAGGTGATGGCGTAGAGGATGAGAGTGGCTGGAGTGTGGCTGTGGACGATGTCGGTGTGGTAGTTGGGTGCTGAAGAGAAGTGGCAGGGCAGACATGACTTGAGTGACGAGGGTAGCTAGAGAAGAGGAACCAGACTATAGCTGGTCACCATGAACTTGGTTAATACAGACCAGTCTGTTAAAGGACGGTCTTTCCTAAGTAAGCAAGGTGTATGGTTGGCGAGCTTTACGAAATAAGAACTACTTTGACGTTCCAGGTGTTTCATTTCATCTTGTTCCACCATCGCCTCATTATATAACTATGTTGTTTACAAATGTGAAACTCTGATCAGTCATCACAGTGCTATACAGGAGTCTGGGTGTCAATAGTGCCAATGGACCCGTGGGTCAGTGAGAAAACGGCATGTTGGATAGTGATAAGCATGCAGGAAGTTGAGCAAGTGCCATTTCGCCATTGGGTTCGATAAGCCGGCCCTTTCACGTAGTTCGTTTGGAGCATGGAGGTACGGTATCTCCGCGTCCGACGGTCCTCTTCATTTACCAATGGTAATGTCGGGTTCGTCGATCCATCGGCATTTTCTTGGTGCAGATTATCCGGAAAATCGTCGATCTATCTAGATCTAAGCTACATCAAAATGGTGACTCTTTCAACTCAACCTCGGCTGCTTTTCGATCGCAAAATTCAGCCATCTCAACATCCTTGATACTCAGTCCTTTAGGATTGTGAGTAGTCCATTCGATTGAGACCCTGTTATACACGTTGGTCCAACGCGGATGATGCTTTTTGACTTTGCACTCGTCCGCAACCACCGACATAAATTGCCAAGCCTTTGCAAAACCACCAAATTGGAACTTGCGCTCAATACTCTGCCTTTTATTGATGATTTTCCATCTAGAAGAGAGCCTCTGTACTCGTTCAGGCAGGTCAGCGGGTTGGTTGGCGGCATATATTGAGTCGTGTGGTGTATTTTGTTTGGGCTGCTCAGCCGGACCAGATGGCGGACGAGAGTTTGAGGACAGTGACCGGAACCCCGTAACGAGTGCGTATCTCGTGTGAGGTATGGTAGTAGCCTGTCTCGGCCGGACATTTGTTTCGCGGCGGATCAGCAAAGACGTTTTGGTGCGACAGCGACGCTCGCACAACGCCTGGAACGATTGGCTGTGACTCGTAGGTTAGACGTGTTTGAGTTCTGAGGTCATCAAGGCGGGTGTCATGGCGCAGGTCAGATGAGGGATTGGCTTGTTCATCAGTGGCGGAAAAGTAATTGCTAGACTTACGGGATTGCCCGAGCTAGATTCTGAGGCCTTGTCATGGTGTAGATGCACTTGCTGGTGTTGATGACGACTTTGATCGCAGATACCGGGGTGTAGATGAACAAGGGTTCTTTCTGTGATGGAAAGCAAACAGCGGTCAATGAACTAATAGCGTACGATCAGCAGGAAATCGTTGACTGCAAGATGCACAGCAGATGCAAAGACGTTGCGGAATCAGGAGCGGAGTGGGAGTTGATCGCTGCGATGCGCCTTGCAAATGCGCTTGGACCAAGCATCTCCAAAATTGCCCAACGGCCATATATTTGCCCAATAAGTTCAGCAGGACGCTTGATGCTGTGAAATGCCAAAGCTCCTGCAGGGAACTAGGTAACTTGGAAGGAGTATGACAAGAATCTGGGAGTGAATTATCTGCTGATGCTGCATGTGCGCTTGGAGGGGCAGATGGGAGTCGTGACAGCACTCATCACGGCAAGAAAGCATCAGCAAAAGGGGGGTTGACAGCAAGAAACCGTGATGCAGCAGCAGATATCCTGATCTCAGGGCGCAACAACTCCTGCATTTGGTATCTACGGAGCCTTCGGATCTGAAAACATATATGTCCCGTATACAGTAATCAGACATGGCGGGACTAGTCCCAAAGAGATTAAGGTGTGTTCGACAGCTACCAGACGGTCGGGGTCGGGGAATTGGTAAGCAATCAGCGTCGCAAAAAGCAGGTGGATGGTCGGATGGAGTGCACAGCTCGTCGGAACCTTGCCGAAGTCAGGCAGGATATGGCAGCAGGGCGTTCATTTCCATGCAGCTGGCTCCGGCGAGTCGTGATGAGGAGGGTGGAGTGCAGCGAGGCATTGCATTGTCGTCGTCGTGGAGAGATCCCGCGAGGCCGACGGTGCCGCCCTACATATAGCGCCATCGCCCCGAGGTCTGTCTCTTCTTAGTCAAAGCTGCGTAATCCACATTTCGACCAACTGCATCGTCACAATACAGGTGAGCTGCCCCATCGTCCTACAACACGAGACGCGCAACCAAGATGCTGTCGCAACACTGCGCGCATGTCTTGGCGCCTGCGACGGATGAAGCTGACTCTCCAGCACAGGCGTCCTCTTTCACGCACTGCAGCCTGCCCATAGTCGACGGCCCCATTGTCGCGACGTCACCACCATCACGACCCTCACCGGCCGACCACGCCGAAGGACCATCGCTTCACCCAGCTGCCCTCTTGCGCGTATAGTCTCGCTTTGGCCTAGTACAGCGACATAACATCCCAGGCCCGTTTGCACGCTGCTGTCTAATCAACGCCACAACACCCTCGCCGCGGTGCTCCCGTCCGACGCGCCCTGAATGAGCCAAATCCTGTATCCCTCGAGCCAAACTGACACTGGGTATAACATGCAGGCATCGGCCGCTCAGGTAAGCTCTGCTGACTGTTTCAGGCCTTGCGCTGCTGACATGCCAATTCAGGATCAATCCAAGCCGACCATAGAGATGAGTTAGTGGCCCCCCCGCATCCGTACCATCCTGCCGATTACTAACACGTATCGTCATGAAGGCTTAAGAGAACATCTGCTCGCTGCCGGCGCTGGACAGCCCAGCGTGCAGCCTCTCCCCCAGCATCCTCCACACCCCCAACATTCCCAGCACCCGCACTCTGCTGGCCCGCCACACGCCATCGACCCAGCCATTGGGGGCTCCGCCTACGACATGAGCCAAGGCGGCCCTGACGATGGGAACACGAGTGAAGGTCGCTCCAAGGGACGGCGAGAGTTGTCGACCTCGAAGCGCGCCGCCCAGAATCGCGCTGCCCAGGTATGCCCACCGCGCGCGCATTCCTATGCTCCGCACTAACATTGCCAGCGCGCATTCCGCCAGCGTAAGGAAGAGTACATCAAACAGCTCAAGGATCAGGTCAAGGAGTTCGAGCAGCTATGCGAACTCTACAAGACTCTTCAAACCGAGAACTACCAACTGCGCGACTATATCATCAACCTGCAATCGCGATTGCTTGAGACCCAAGGCGAGATACCACCTGCGCCGGCCGGTGTAGATCTCAACCGACCACACGAGCAACCAAACATGCACCAAGCACCGCAACCACCACAGCCGCCCCAACAGCCCGAGCAACCACAGCAGCAGCAGCAACAAGCCTCCAGCAATAACAACGGCGGGCTTTCGGAGCGCCAGATTGGCGAGCTGCAGATGGCGGCGCAAGCAGCAGCGGCAGCCCAACACGGCGCATCTGGCAATAAGCACGCCAGCTCTGAAGGTTCGTACGACTATGCAGAGAAGCGCCAAAAGGTCGACGAGTCACCGCAAGGTCAGCACCCTGAGCCATCGTCCTCCTTCTATCCCAACCCAAACGCTTATTGAGAGAGCAGCCAGTCCGATCCATGGCTTACAGCTATAGTAGGCTCAGGTTCATCCGCTGATTACGACGCTTTCGTCAACGAGCTTCAGCAGTCGGACAAGCAGGCCGTATAGCAGCCACGCTTCCCTTACTATTCTATCACTATTTTAATCCGCTTCTCCCACTTCTCTCTTACGATGTAATGCATAGACCCTGAAGCCTGTCTACGCTCGGGCTGGTGGTATTTTGCGACGGGCGTATGGAGTTGCTTCATACATGCATGGTCAAGCTAGACTGAGCCATGATATGTTGTACAGGTTTCTGTACCATTACGGGAATACCGATATCTCTTGCAGCTTTTTGCTGCTCTACCCTTACACTTCTGCATCCAACGTGAAACCCAGCTCTACTATTTATCAAGAAGTCTTGAAAGTGAATTAACAGCTTCCGGACAAGGAAAAGACCGAGAGTAAAACCGACTCTTCGTATCCGCTTAATCATAACCAGTATTCTCCGACTACATTCGTTCCTTGAGACGCCTGATTTGTGGCTTGATATATCTAGCACAGTGTTTTGACGTGCAAAACAAGAATATTCACTCCCACTGTATACAACAATACTGTAGGCAACAACATACGTGGAGCTCCGGTCCGTCGATCTGTTGTCCGCTAGAATTATGTTGCTAGCATGGTAGGTAACTTTAATGTAAGAATCGCACATCAACATTTACTAACTTTGTACATCAAACATTGGGCACGGTGCCTTCGGCCGAAAGATGACACCTCCTCAAGTACACTTCGACGTCGCGCAGTCATCACACTTAAATCAGCCTTGAGAAGTTCACTGTGTGTACTCTATAGATTACGATTTGGTACAGTAAGCGATTGGTATCATCCGTCCCATATCATGCACCCTAAACCATGCGTTCTTTTCGCATTACAAGAAAGACGTCAAAACTAAAACTAGAAACAATGGCAAACAGCGTCTAGAAATGGGGCGTGTTGAGCGCCATAACCATCAAAAGACCTGAGATGAGACCTGCACCAGGCAAGGTGATGATCCATCCGGAGAAGATGAAGCCGACTTGCTTCCAGTTGACGGCCTTGAGATCGAAGTTGCAAAGCGCGACACCGATGGTAGCGCCAGTAAGACACTGGGTAGTGGAGACAGGGAGAGCGAGACGCGAGGCGAGGAGGACAGTAATGGCGGCACCCAATTCCATGCTGAATCCACGGGTGGGAGAGACTTGAGTGATCTTGTTACCGAGAGCGCGTACGATGTGGTATCCGTAGAACCAGAAACCGATACCGAGAAGAAGACCGGCGACGATGAGGATCCAAATGGGAGTGTCGGCTTCCTTGGTGACGACACCAGTTGTGTAGGTGTTGTACGAACCAACCCAGGGTCCGACAGCGTTGGCAACTGTGATGTGAGGTTAGCAGATGCATCAAGATG